CATGGCTGTAGCGAAGAGGGTGTTGCGCTACTTGTGCAGTACGTCGAGCATGGGGCTAGTGCTTGGAGGGCGGAGTCCAGTGGTCCTCACTGGACACGCAGACGCTTCTTGGGCTGACGACCAGGCTACGCAGCGGTCGTCACAGGGTTACACCTTCAGCCTTGGTTCCGGCTCTGTTTCGTGGCGGGCTACTCGCTCGTCTTCTGTTCTTGGCTCCAGTTTTGAGGCTGAGATCTACGCAGGGGCCATGGCTGCTCAGGAGCTTCGCTGGCTCACCTACCTGCTGACCGACCTTGGAGAGCCGCCTCGTTCTCCTCCAGTCCTGTACGTCGACAACAAGGCCATGCTGGCCTTGTGTCGGGAGCAGAGACTGGAGCACAGAATAAAGCACATTGCTCTCCGCTACTTCCTTGCTCGTGAGCTACAGCAGCGTGGTCAGTTGCGACTTGCGTACGTGGCCTCTGAGGCCAACACTGCTGATGTCTTCACCAAGGCACTTCCGCCTTGTGATCATCAGCGCTGCTGTACCCAGCTGGGTCTTGTGTCTGTCTTGCCTCACTTGCTCTCCTCTTGACCCTCTTTGTACTGTTACATATATATATCGCTTCTCTTGCTTGTTTAGTCTTATATATATATCTGTACTTCTGCATGTGAACTGGCCTTGTGGCCTTGCACTTGTGCTCGAATTGTGTGGTGACGTTGTGATCCACCCTGAGCTTGCTTTGTTTTGCTTTACTTGACTGGTCTTGTGACCCCTAGTTCTCCCCCACTTCGCCTATGGGGGTGTGTCAAACATTATATATGTTGTTGTAGTTGTTTAGGCTACAGTGGGTTAGCCGATAGGGGGTACACATTCCTAGGTTTTCATACTTGTACTCATTTCACCCTTAGTTCATCCATTCTTGTTCAACAAGTACGTCGGAACCTCAATCGAAAGTGACGCAGCCAACTAGGCCTCTCCTTAATCAACGATGCATTACATGCACTTCGGTTTTATGCACCTGATGCTTCGTAGAATTCCATCGTACATGACAACGATAGCTCTCCTACAAACCGTTATTTGCTATTCATCTGGTGTGCATTTGTAGAACAGAAGGGATGCTTCCCTAATTATCCTTGCTGTGGCTGTGGTTTGGCAATTGCCATGTTTTAAAGTGTGTAACCATTTTTTCACCCTGATGACAAAAACGTAGCAGTTTTTTCACCCTAGTGTTCGGAAAAAATACTCTGGCCAGACACAGTGATACGAGAAGCATACTTAGACAATAGCCGTTCCATTCCTCTTCCAGGAGGATTTTGTTGTTGTAAAAAGCTTCAAAAAACTAGCAGCAACGTGCCGCATCAAGAGCCCAGTGGGCAGTGGAACATTATATCAGCCGTGCGACCACAAGAGAATGACATATGTGGTGCTCCTTGTAATTGTGGTGATGGTCAGTGCGGACAGTGTCGTGCAACTTTTACGAGCCATAAAAATCAAGCGAAATGAATAAGACATATTTTTTACCCTTTCCCAATCAGGGTTCATAGATTTTCACTGTGTTTGTTTAGGGTTGATTGAAAAAAACAACTTAGAGCCTTGGTGAAAGTTATAATGTTTCTGCAAAAAATAAGGGGGTTTGATAGGATGAAATCCTGGCCAAGAAGGCTTCTGCTACAAAGGCTTAGTATCAGCATAGCAGAAACGCGTTTGTAGAAAGAACAAGATATAAATCTTGCACCCGTAAACCCCCGGATATAAGACCCTAGGGTCTTATCATGATGGAATTAAAAAAAAATGGGGGGGGTCTAAATAAGTGGCATATATAATATAAGACCCGGGTCTATACAAAATGACTTTTTAAGATATATGTTTTAGGGCACAGACAAGTGAATGGGAAGCGTTCTGTTTTAGCACTCCAAGAAAATACGCGAAACCATCTCCTTGAGGTCTGACACACGTCAACACGAAATCAAGCTAAGAGGGTTCTCTCATTGGCCAACATTGGCGACCACATCAAGCATAGAGGCACCGTGTCATGGGCCTAGCGCACTGTGTCACCTCAGATTTCACACCCCATGCACGCTGCGAGGGGGCTACACGGTATTGGTTAGGGGGTGCTCTACACCCAGTAGCTGGCACGTCCCTATGTGTAGGCTGTCCTTCACCTCCTTCTCCTCGTGTTTCTTCTCCCCAGCACGTAACGTTTCCTTGCTCGGCTGGCTATCAGAGATGGCGAGCAGAGCCATAATAAAACCTCCTCGAAGCTAGCAGCGTGTCATCTGTAGTTTAGCCGCCACGGTGACATCCCCAGATGCTGGGACGTCGGGTGCTCAACGTCGGGGCCGCCGTGTCCCCAGTACACCTCCTGCTGCTAGGCCATCGCCCAGGCCCGTCTTGCCAACGCCAAGTGCCTCTACCAGTGATGCGGCAGATAGTGAGCGTAGCGAGAGCCCACGTCGTCCGCTTCCCCAAGTTAGGGTTCCTGTCTTTCCGCAATCCAGCAAACCGCAGGGTAAGAAGAAGCGTGTGCAGGACGCAGAGACGCCATCGCCAAGGCACCGAATGACGAAGAGAGCGCGGAAAGCTTACACCGCCAAAGAGAAACTGTACTGGCTCAAGATGATACATGCGCAGCCGGATCTGAGCGTCCGCAAGTTGGCCAGCCTCGCCAAAGTCCAGCCGAAGCAGATCCGTGACTGGAAGAGATTGAAGGAGCACCTCGAAATTGCGGCAGGTTGTCGCCGTCGTCTCAGTGGTGCTGGACGAAAGCCCAAGTGGCCAATGATGGAGACTGCGGTCTACCGCAGGTTCCTTTCCCACCGTGGGAAAGGTCTGTCGATTTCCGTGGGCCTGCTGCAGAGTCCGGCGACGAGTTATATGAAGCACCGCCATCCCCAAGAGAAGTGGCGGTCGTCGCACCGCTGGACAAAGAGGTTCCGCAGGCGGTGGTCCCTGGCGCAGTGCGTAAAGACGAAGATTGGGCAGAAACTTGCTGCAGGTAAGAAATCCTGTGCAATGCACATTCGATGTTCGCTGATGTGCAGCTACTAATTCACCATTCACTTGTGCGGCGCAGATTGCAAGAAGAAATGCGAGTCTTTCTGGGAATTTGTGAGGCAGATGTGCGTGCTCAACGCCTACCCCCTCAACTTGATTGTAAACGCGGATCAGACGCCTCTGTTCCTCGAGATGCCTGCTGAGCGCACCCTCGAGATGAAAGGCGCGCGTACCATGCACGTGCACACCGCGGGGTACGAGAAGGAGCGCCTCACCATCATGCTGGCCGGTGACGGCGGGCGACATGAAGCTCCCTCCCTATGTTGTCTTCAAGCGGAAGACTTTGCCGAAGATCCCCGTGCCGCGAGGTGAGTTGTGCCCATGCGACAACTTTGCTGCTCTTTGCTGAGGAAGAAACCCGCTAATGTGTCTTGTGCTATCGTGCATGTCTTGTCATCCGCGTCCAGGTGAAGGGCTGGATGGACGAGAAACTTGTCCAAGGCTGGACAACGCAAGTTTTCGTCCCCTTCCTTAAGCCGCTCCGTGAAGAGGGAGGGCAGCGCAAGGAGGCACTCCTCGTCCTCGACTCCTACCAAGGGCACATCACTGAAGCGGCCGGCCGGACGATGAAGCTGTTCAAGCTCACTCGCGCGGTGATCTCTGACGATTGCACCTTGCTGGTGCAACCGCTGGACGTTTCGATAAACCGCAGCTTTAAAACCGGGGTTCGCCACCGCTACTCCATGTGGTTGAAGATTAGATAGGGTAATGTTTCTAGGTTGCTGGGCAGGATGAGGATTAGATAGGGTAACGTTCCTTCGCATGTGTGTTTGGTTGTGTTGCCTCCTCTATGAACATTGAAAATCACCAAGTACCAGTCCATCAATCACAAATGAATAGGTCTCTAGTGGTAGGGGGGGTCTTATATTGTCAGGTGCCAAATAGGGGGTTTATCTCGACTAGACTCGAACAGAGTACCCCCCGTATTATATACCCATGGGTCTACAACTGGAGGGGGTCTTATATCCGGAGGTTTACGACATTTACAACACGTTAACCATTGAATGACGAAAATAATGATGACACAGCAGAGTATGCACCTAGCTACCCTTCCAACATGGCCCATCCACAGCAATAACGGTGCACCAATATTTCTACACACAAATAATTTTACCATCCAATGATGCTACATGAATAATTGTGACAATTATTGTAAGAGCGTGTTCCTAACCCCGCATCAAGATAACCTCATATCAAGCTCTCACTGAAAAATCCCCTAAACCCAAAACCTCTTGCTACTTACCAGGCAAAAAGTACTATCTTGATACGAGGTGGCCTGATATGAGGCCGTAGGAATACGCTCTAAGCCTTGGATGCTAAACTGAACAGCACACCGGTATGCAGTATTTGTTGTACTGTACTCGGAATTCCAACAGCTACCACACCCCACATAAGCTACCAGTGTAGGGGGGTCGTCATATGCAGCGTTGGCTATATCTGGGTATTTATGGTAGATCTTGCAACACCCCTTGAATAGAAGGGATATGTGGCTGATTGAAAGATCTTATTCACTCAGCTTCTAAATCAAAACATATCATTTTTGCATCCTATACAGAACACTTTCCTTGTCTGATTTTGACTGGATCTGGCAAGCAAATTCTCATGCCCCGGGCCAGTCTATCTAGGCAATCGTAACCATTTAATCTTTTATAGCAGTTCTTAATGCCCTTGAAGAACCTGAACTGAATGGCACTGCACCTGTCATTATCTGTTACAATGTAGACCTCAGACAAGGGACACGAGCCGAATGACATGTCCATTCGCATATTAACACACACCTGCAACACAACAGGAACCAAGAGGCCACAGGTGAAACGGAAATGCAGTTGACCCGAGACTGAAGAGAAACCCAAAGGATGCGCGCATTTGAATAACAATAGGGTAACACAGGAATGAACCACTGAGTTTCACCTGATCAGCTGGCCACACTACAATGTGTATCAGTTCCTCCACTGCCACAACCTTACCTCTCCTCCAGGAACTGAGCTGCAATGCATCCCACACGCCACATCCTGCCATATGCAAGGCCATCACACCCCACCGTACCTCACACACCCCACCTCACCACACTGCACACACACCCCACCGCGCCGTACCTCGGAGCCCAGAAAGCCAGATTCAATGGAGGGCGGAAGCAGGCGGTGGCAGTAGATGCCGGGGTTCATGCGGTAGAGCTCCAGCGCACTCAGCGGCGGCTGCCTCCCCGCCAGCAACGATGCACACGTCGCATTCCTCGTGCCCTGAACCCTCACAGTCTCCTCGCACATGGGCATGAGAGGGGTGGTACGCTCCAGGCAGATGGAGAGGCCTGTAGGGAGCTTGACAGTGCAGTCGAGGCCCGGGTTGAGGCTCAGGAGGTCGGTGGTGCAGGGCTGGGAGGGGTCTGGGCAGGAGGCGGTGAGAGAGAAGAGGGAGGCAATGGACTCACACGTGTCGCTCTGGTGGGGTTGTGTAGGGAGGTGGTTGAGGAAAGGGGGGGAAGGGAGGGGTAGGGAGGCAAGGCACGAAAGCACGTGCGGGGAAGGAAGGAAAAATGAGAGGTGGGAGCAGGGAAAGACAGAAAGAAAGCAGGGTGGGGAGAGGGAAGAGGACGGGGAGGAGGGGGAGGAGGGGAAGGAAAGGGAAGGAATGGAGGAAAGGGAGGAACGGGAGGAAAGGGAGGAAACAGAGGAAAAGGGGAAAGGGAGACGGGAGGGGAGAGGGAGATGAAGAGGAAAGGGAAGGAGGTAGAGAGAAAGTGGGGGCCAGGCGGGGGGGGGAAAGGAATTGAATGAGGAAGAGGGAGGGGGAGATGGAGAGGAAGGGTGATGAAGAGAAAGAGAATGCGGGTGTGTGCACGGCACAACAGCGCATGGCACGAGGGGACGAGGGGAGAAGGGGAGGAGCGGAGGAGGGGAGGAGGGGAGGAGGAGACGAGGGGAGGAGAAGGGGGAATAGGAGGAGACGTGGGGAGGTAGCAGAAGAAACAGAGGGAGGAGGGGGCGAGCGGGGAGAAGTGGCGCAGGATGCGACGAAGGCAAGAAGAGCGTATTCAAGAACTCTGAAAAGTGACTCCAACATAGTGCCCTGACCTGGACCGTGGTGTAGAAGGCGGAGCAGGGCGTGAGGTCAGTGTTGGGCTTCACACTGACCAATGTGCCCACTGGCAAGGGCACATCGCATGACAGTCCCTGGAGGGGTGGGTTGGCGGGTGGAAGGAAGGGTGGGGCATAGATAGAGGGCAGACGAGGGCAGATGAGGGCAGTTGATTCAAATCACCACCGTGGCCACTGGCACGGGCACATCGCACAACAGCCCCTGCAGGGGTGGGTGGTGATTGGAAGGAAGGGTGGGGTATAGATAGAGGGCAGATGATGGCAGATGTGGCAATGAGGGCAGATGAGCATGGGTGTGCAGCAGAAGGGGGGAGGGAGTGCAAGTGTATGTCTGAAGCACCCCAGCCCCCGCTTTCTCCTGCACTCCCTCTATCGCCCTTTCAATCTCCCCCTCTTCCTCTATCTCCCTCCCTACCTCTCTCCGTAATCCCGCTACCCCATCTTTGATGCCAGTGCGTGCCCATTCCCACACGTCACACTCACGCAAATCCCATTCACGCACATTTCACGCAAATCCCATTCACGCACATCCCACTCATGCAAATCCCATTCACGCACATCCCACTCATGCAAATCCCATTCACGCACATTCCACTCACGCAAATCCCATTCACGCACATCCCACTCATGCAAATCCCATTCACGCACATCCCACTCATGCAAATCCCAGTCCCACACATTCCACTCATGCAAATCTCATTGACGCGTATTCCACTCATGCAAATCCCATTCACGCATATTCCACTCACGCATATCCCATTCACACATATTCCACTCATGCAAATCCCATTCACGCATATTCCACTCGTGCAAATCCTATTCACGCATATTCCACTCTGCCCTCACTCACTCACCCCGTTTTGGTACAGGAACTGGGCGAGTGTGAGGCCATAGATGGGGTGGATGTGGTAACACCACATTGTGGCCACTGTCACAAGGAAAAAGCTCATGCCGACGCCTGGGTGGGTGGGTTGTTGGAGGGGAAAGAGGACAGGCAAAAAGGGATGAAGGAGGTAAAAGGAAAGATAGACTGTGGGAGAGGCTGGAAATTCGGAGTCGCGAGTAAACGAGATTCTTGAGAACAGGCTGCTGTTGAGACGCCTCAATTCTTGAAGCATGAGCAGGTCGAAACAGAGAAGGACGCAGGTCGAAACAGAGAAGGACGCAGGTCGAAACAGAGAAGGACGCAGGTCGAAACAGAGAAGGACGCAGGTCGAAACAGAGAAGGAAGCAGGTCGAAACAGAGAAGGACGCAGGTCGAAACAGAGAAGGACGCAGGTCGAAACAGAGAAGGACGCAGGTCGAAACAGAGAAGGACGCAGGTCGAAACAGAGAAGGACGCAGGTCGAAACAGAGAAGGACGCAGGTCGAAACAGAGAAGGACGAAGGTCGAAACAGAGAAGGACGCAGGTCGAAACAGAGAAGGACGCAGGTCGAAACAGAGAAGGACGCAGGTCGAAACAGAGAAGGACGCAGGTCGAAACAGAGAAGGACGCAGGTCGAAACAGAGAAGGACGCAGGTCGAAACAGAGAAGGACGCAGGTCGAAACAGAGAAGGACGCAGGTCGAAACAGAGAAGGACGCAGGTCGAAACAGAGAAGGACGCAGGTCGAAACAGAGAAGGACGCAGGTCGAAACAGAGAAGGACGCAGGTCGAAACAGAGAAGGACGCAGGTCGAAACAGAGAAGGACGCAGGTCGAAACAGAGAAGGACGCAGGTCGAAACAGAGAAGGACGCAGGTCGAAACAGAGAAGGACGCAGGTCGAAACAGAGAAGGACGCAGGTCGAAACAGAGAAGGACGCAGGTCGAAACAGAGAAGGACGCAGGTCGAAACAGAGAAGGACGCAGGTCGAAACAGAGAAGGACGCAGGTCGAAACAGAGAAGGACGCAGGTCGAAACAGAGAAGGACGCAGGTCGAAACAGAGAAGGACGCAGGTCGAAACAGAGAAGGACGCAGGTCGAAACAGAGAAGGACGCAGGTCGAAACAGAGAAGGACGCAGGTCGAAACAGAGAAGGACGCAGGTCGAAACAGAGAAGGACGCAGGTCGAAACAGAGAAGGACGCAGGTCGAAACAGAGAAGGACGCAGGTCGAAACAGAGAAGGACGCAGGTCGAAACAGAGAAGGACGCAGGTCGAAACAGAGAAGGACGCAGGGACAAAAGGGAGCAGAGCAGGACGCAGCAGGAGCAAGAAGGGCTTACCAGGGGCGCAGGAGGGGGCGCTGATATCGGAGGTGCCGAGATAGAAGAAGGGTGGGCACACACAGGTGTATGAGCCGTACCCGTCGTTCACGCAGTTGCCCACGACACATGGGTTCCTGTCGCCTGCACTACACACATCTGTCCACGCCCGCAGCATGCACACACACTCACACATGCGCCCGCCCGTCCGCCCTCCCGCTCGCCCTCCCCCCGCACGCATGCACGCACGCAAGCACGCACGCACGCACAGACAAGATAATCTCTTTGAGTCGCGTGTCATTGCATAGCTCTTAGTGGGAGAGCCTTGCTTTTGAGAATTCTCAAAAGCGGCTCTGAGTGGGAGAGCCTTGCTGAATCGCGTTCGGAGCCCAGCTAGTACGATGCCGCAAGACCTGAAATCCAGGTGCCTCACAAGTCAGGGCTTCTTTGGACGTCACAAGAACCAAAACCGGGTGCTTGTCCCTGGTCGCCTCTCACCTCTCGCCTCTCTCGCTTCATGCTCCCACAGCAACTCACCAACTACGCAGCCTCCAGTCTTCCCTTCTTGCTGTTGCCCCCCTCCTCCTTCCCCTCCCCCACCATCTCCTTCTCTTGGTACAAACTCGTTGGTGAATACGTCAGTAGCACCACCACCCACACCACCACCAGTGGCACCTCCAACACCGGCAAACCCCATGGCCTCCCCAGGGCAGGAGGACACATCGGAGCGACAGTAGACACGGGTAGGGGACAGGCGAGAGATGCCAAAGCAGGGATCCGATGGGCCTGGTGGAGGGGTGGAGAGGAGGGTGAGCTGGTTTCAGTTGCGAGAAGTAAAAAAAAAACAGGGAAAAAACAAAAGGGAGAGTGGAAGAGGTAGCTGGCAAATTGATGGTTGTGGTTGTGGATGCTGGATGGATCATGGATGCACAGATAGGCATGTGAATGTGGATGCACAGATGCTGGATACACGCACACGAGGATACACGCACATGAGCATGTGCTCATGGCATGCAGGCACAAACACACATTCACATTCACAGGAGCGTGCACACACACGCGTACACATGCAACTGCACATGCACGCACACACGCACACACTCACACATACAAGCACACACACACATATACAATCACACACGTACACACGCGCGTCCACACATGCATATGCACACACACGCGCGTCCACACATGCATATGCACACACACGCGCGTCCACACATGCATATGCACACACACGCGCGTCCACACATGCATATGCACACACACGCGCGCGCGCACACACACACACACCTGTCTGCAGCTCCCACCAGAGCACACGGTGGTCCTGCGGCACATGCAAGGAGGAAGAGGAGGCGGAGAAGGAGAGGAACACCGAGGGCCGCGACGGCGACGGCTTGAGCACAGAGCAGAGGGAGAGAGGCACATCCAGTAATGCTTGACCTGGCTGCGCATCTCCTGCTGCCACAAACACTCGCAGCCTCCCTGCTCTCCTGCGCCCTGCTCCGCTCTTCCTGCCGCCTCTGCTGCTGCTGGTGCTGTTGCTGAAGCTTCTGCTGCTGCTGCTGCCGCCAGCAAAAGCATCAGGTTCATACATGATCCATACATGCCGCAACACTCCACTGTTCAGGACCAAGTTGTTCGGTGAAGCTGTGGCAATCGACCGGCTGTTGCCCCCCAAGTTGACCCCCACGTGGTTGCTATCCGGGTCACCATTCCAGGCGTCCTTCCGCGTGTCTAACTCCACTGCCACGCTCCTCTTGCCCATGCCCTTGTACCCCATGCCTGGCCCCCCTGTCGGCTCCGTTGCACTTATCACAAAGGCTAGCCCGTCCCCTGCTGTTCCGGCTGCTGCTGCTACTCTTGCAGCTGTGGAGGAGAGGAAGGGGAACGAAATGGTGGTGGTGGAGGAGGAGGAGGAGGAGGAGGAGGAGGAGGAGGAGGAGGAGGAGGAGGAGGAGGAGGAGGAGGAGGAGGAGGAGGAGGAGGAGGAGGAGGAGGAGGAGGAGGAGGAGGAGGAGGAGGAGGAGGAGGAGGAGGAGGAGGAGGAGGAGGAGGAGGAAGAAGAAGAGGACGAGGAGGCAGCGTCGAGTTTCCTGGTTTGGGAAGACATGGAGAAGGCGAAGGAGAAGTTAAAGGCGAGCTGGTAACCACAGGGGTCTTTCGCGGACGGGAGGGTGAAGAGCGTGACGAGCGGCAGCAGCGTGACGGCGCCCCACGCCCCGCGCACAGCCGGGCTCACCACAAGCTTATCTGACGAGCTGTAAGGCGGTGGCAGCGGTGCCGGTGAAGGCGAAGGAGAAGGAGAAGGAGAGGGTGGTGGTACGTCAAACTTTGGACCGGGGTCCACACCTGGCCCACCCGGATCTACCAGATCGGCAGTGCTGCTGGCGCTGGTAATGCTGGCGGTGCCGGCAGTGCTGGCTGCGTTGGCAGTGTTTACCTTTGGAAGCGGGTTGGGTGACTGCAGTGACGACATGACCCCAGGTACGTCCCTTCCGCCCACCAAGGAAGCATAGCCCTTGAGGCGCACAGGGGGCGAGTCGGCGAGCGAGAGCGAGAAGGACGCAGTCTGCGCCTCCGGCACACAGGACCCCGGTGAGACGCGGGTCACGTACCCGTCCTCACACGCACACGTGGGCTTGCCTGCCTTGTCCAGCCGGCATGTTCCGACGGCCGAGCAGGGCTTCTGATCCAGGGAGATGAGACCGCAGAAGGCGAGGCAGGCAGAGAGGGGTCGCTGGGTGTGGCGGGCGCAGCGGAAGGAGGAGGAGGGGGAGGAGGGCGGGGACGAGGTGGGGGAAGGGAAGGTGAGGCAGTTGGAGCGGAGGGAGAGGGTGCTGGGGCAGTAGGAGAGCCTGGCTTCGCCGTAGAGGTAGTTGCTGTCGAGGAGTAGCGTGGCGAGGGATGGTGACCAGTCGGACGGGAGAAAGTCGGAAATCTGGTTGTTGCGCAGGTTGCTGCATGCAGGGCGAGCAGCAGACACGGAGGGATGGAGGGATGGAAAAAAGGAACGAAAGGCAGGGAAGGGAGGAGCGGGAGGAAAGGTTGGATGTGAGTCGTAAACCAAGTGAATGATGGGTGGAACATGCTTGACTGAACCAGAAGGAACAAGTGGGACACACACGTCGCACGAGTTCATTACTGCTACAAAACATCCTGTTTTCCCGACTCTACACCATTTGTGCAACAGAAGCTCTCCTCCCCTCTTCCTCTAGAGGTGCCGCATTGAAAGAGAGTGGGAAGAAGAATGAAAGGGGGGTTGGGAAGGAAGAAGAGTGGGAGGAGGACTGACAGAAGCTTCAGGTCGGGAAGTCCGGTGATGTAGAGGGGAATGGAGCCATACAGCCTGTTGTTGCTCAAGTCCCTGTGCTTGTGTTGTGACGCACATGCATGCATGCATGCAGGAATGCGAGGGAGTGCGAGGAAACGCATGAGGACGAGATGAGTACATGAGAGGGGGCAGGCATGGCAGAGGGGCACGGATGGGAGACAGGCAAGAGAGGCATGGGGATAGCTCTCGCCTCTGGCTGGGTATGGTTTTTGGGAATTCTAAAAAAAAATACGCTGCATGGGATAGCTCTCGCCTCTGACTGGCCTTGTGAACTCCATGCGGATCACTCCACGCCACGCCACGCCTTGCACAGCAGAACACAGCACAGCAGTGGCAGGCACACGGTCACTCTGCCATCAGCAGTACTGCCGATCTGCACACAATGGCGTGGACCGGACAGAGACTGGCAGCGCATTCATGGTGTGCGGGTGGTGTGTGTGGCCACACACACACACACACACACACACCACACACACCACACACACACACACACACACCACACACACACACACACACCACACACACACACACACACACACACCATACACACACACACCACACACACACACACACACACACACCACACACACCACACACACACACCCACACACACACACACACCACACACACACACACACACACACACACACCACACACACACACCACACACACACACACACACACACCACACACACACACACCACACACACACACCACACACACACACACACACACCACACACACACACACACACACCACACACACACACACACACCACACACACACACACACACCACACACACACACACACACACCACACACACACACACCACACACACACACACACCACACACACACACACACACCACACACACACACACACACACACACACACACACACACCACACACACACACACACACACACACCACACACACACACACCACACACACCACACACACACACACACACCACACACACACACACACACCACACACACACACACACACCACACACACACACACACACACACACACACACACACACACACACACACCACACACACACACACACCACACACACACACACACACACACACACACACACACACACACACACACACACACACACACACACACACACACACACACACACACACACACACACACACACACACACACACACACACACACACACCACACACACACACACACACCACACACACACACACACACACCACACACACACACACACACCACACACACACACACACACACCACACACACACACACCACACACACACACACACACACTCACACCACACACACACACACACACACACACCACACACACACACACCACACACACACACACACACACCACACACACACACACACACCACACACACACACACACACACACACACACCACACACACACACACACACACCACACACACACACACACACACACACCACACACCACACACACACACACACACACATGGCAATGATCCACGCACGCACAGCGGATTGGTGAGGGGAATGCAACAAGCGCGATCTGGTCACTGGGCCCCCATGCTTCTCATTAGCGCGAGTCCCAGCGCAATGCAGGGCAGGGCGCGCTCACAGGTGCTGAAGAGCTGCAAGGTAGCCGAGGGACTCGGGTAGCGATCCGGTGAGCTGCCTCCGACTCAACACACTGCCCAGGCAGACCATGACAGGGAGAGGGGAAGGGGCAGGGACAGGGGCAGGGGGAAAGGGGGGGTGATTGGGAGGGGGGGGGGGGGGGGGGGGGGAAGGGGTAAGAAAGAGAGGGGAGAGACTTGTGATGATGCTCAAACAGAGACGGTGTTTATAGGTGAACATGCATGCACGAGAAGTGAACGCGGTCGTTGGGTGGGAGGAGAGTGGAGAGAGGAGGAGAGGAGGAGAGAAGAGCGAGGAGAGAAGAGAGAGGAGAGCGGAGAGGACTCACAAAGCATAGGAGCGCCATCTCTTACTGTGTGGAGGATTACTGGATTACTATGCCCACATAGTAAGTGATGATGCCTTGGCATGCCAGGTCATGCCATGCCATCCCATGCCATGCCATGTCATGCCAGGTCATGCCAGGTCATGCCAGGTCACGTACAGCTTCTGCACGTTGCCATTCTTGTCGCACGTCACTCCTGCCATCCGCGCGCACTCTCTGCCGCTCTGCCAGGTGGCACTCCCCGGAAACGCGCCCCACTCCGCCTTGAGCTCCTCCAGCACCGCCACTGCGCGCCGATACAACAGGGATCCCCGGACAGAGGGAGGCGGAGAGGGAAATCTTGATGAGTCAAAGAGAGGGGAGTGGGGTATGATGCGCGTCGCGTGGGCGTGGCTACCCAGCGGGTCAACACGCGGGTTCCAGAACCACAGGTGCGCAGCGGATGCTCTACCCGATTTCAGACATTTCTCAGCGAGCTGCACGCGTGTAGTAGGCTCGCTGGGAGATGTCTGGACATCGTGCAAAACGGGGGTTCCAATTTGTACCACCTGTGACGATTTTTGAAGCTCCTCAAAACGGGGGTTCTATCTAGTACCACCTGTGACAAGGTGCGCAGCGGATGCCCTAGCCGTCGTCGTGCAAGGACAGACGTGGGAAGGGGATGGAGGAGAGGGATGGGGGTGGGGGAGAGGAGGCCCATTTGCAAAATGTTTATTCCCACGACAGAGGGAAAAGAGCAGGTGCATATCATAGATGATCTATGATGTGTTGGGGACGCACGCCTTGCACGTAAAGAAGGAGAAGGCCACCGGCGAGGCGTGGGTGGCACAGGTGGCGCAGGTGGCACAGGTAGCCCTGGCAGGGGCGCGGTGCTAGGATAGGCGGAAGGGGAAGTGGGCCCGGGAGGAAGGAGGGAGGAGTGGGAGGAGGAGGACGAGGACATAGGAGTCACTCATAGTGCGGTACTATCCCGGAAGTGTTTTTAGAAAGAACCATTTTAGGGCGCCAATGTGGCCCAAATGTGGCCCAAATGTGACCCAGCCGCATCGTTCAAGGCACCTTGGGATAGGGTCTCAGGATTTCGCCTTCGAAAACATCCTCCGGGACAGGTTTGCCCTACGTGTAGTAGTGCCACTAGAACGAAACTCTGTAGGAGTTTCTTTCTTTCACCTGATAGGTGTTTCTAGATTGCCTGACGGGCTTACTGTCTCCCTCGTTTATGATCTGCGCGGCGGCGAACAGGGAATACGCGGTGCGACGGCCACTACTACTACTAGTAGTAGTAGTATAGTAGGACCGCGAATAGCTCCGCGGCTCCGCCAAAATCCTCCCACCAGCTCCGCTTCCTCCGGCTCCTCCTTCCCCCGAGATTACCCCCAATGATGTAAGCCCCGCCATGGCGTGCAACAAAACGAGAACGAAAGTTATCCGCACGACCACGAGCGTGCGGCGGCGCGGCGGGCCCACTCCCATGACTCTCTCGCCGCGCAACGGGACGGCCGCGGCCGCGGGAGGGATGGGAAGCGGATGACACGGCAGGGCTGGAGCCTGGAGAGAGGTATGAGGCTTCGCTGTTGCCAGTCAGTTCTTGCCCTAGAAAGTAAGGGAGGGAGAGCTTTTCATCAGATGTCTGCAGTTTGTGCGGCCGCGGCGCGACGACTAGACATCTGGCAAGACTTGGAGGCAAGGAGAAAGGCATGGGATGGCGAGACCTGGAAGCACCTGGAAAGGATAGGCATGTGTTGTCCTGCAAGTCAACTTCCGCAACGTGCAGTGTAGTGGCATTCGGAGTCGGGACTGGACTACACCGTCTCACTCGACCTTCTCACTGATGCAGACAGAGCTTGGATTCGGCGTGCTGGTGAGATTGACCTAATGGCGTGTACAAAGTTCTGCAAAAACTCGACGCTGAGGGATGTCGGTGAATCCTGACGGTTGGAACTGTTGATCCGAGGGTCGACATTCATCGACAGCCCTCTTTGAACTTATGGGCAAAAGCGCATGAGATTTTCGTGAATGCTGAATACCCTTCTCAACCATTCCTATACGCAAACAGACTGTATCATAACGTAATTCACCTCAACTAGCCGCATTCAGACGAAAGTTGTACAAACCGCGCTAAGGGCGGGTCAAAAGAGTACGTCCGATTGCGGTTCAAAGAGGTTGAGGCTTGATCCAGAGCGGTCTTTTTTAAACACAAGATGATTGGGTAGGGTTTTCTGCGAAAACGTGCAAAGTTTGACCCGCCCTAATCTAGCACCCGAAGCCACCCTAGCACGAAAGAGGGTGAAAGGTAATGCTGCCAAGAGCAGTCTGCGCGGAGGAGAGGTTTAAAGGTTTAAAGGTTTTTATAAGGTCGTGACCTTTTTACAAACATGCAACTAGAGAAGGATACAAGCAAAGCCTAGCTCCCCGTAGGGAGCACGTGTGAACACGTTATCCTCCTGCCTCAAGAGCAGAGATGTCCCAAGACAAATCTCTAGCTGACACGTGGTAAGGCTGTGGCGGGGGATCAAGGAGGGTGGAAAACGTCGTTGAGCAGCCAGGTATCGCGGAGCTCGGGATGGATGAGAGGATGCTGCCAATCCCTTGATTCTGCCAGCCGAGAACTGTCATTTCAAACACTACAGTACACTAGTTCCACGCTGTCCTCCTTTCCTCCGCGAATGGTGCTTTGCCACAGTTTTCTCTGCAAGCTTACAATGGTTCAGAAGATTGACTATGGGGGAAATTAAAAAAGAAACCAAAAGAAACCTTGCACAAACAAACTTGTACATGCTATCACTCTGTGGTGTATATAAACATCGTGCCTTGCACACATGGCTATGACGAGGGAGACTAAAGAAGCAGCAACACGCGTCAACCATATTTATTTCTGCATTCTAGATTGAGCATTTCCCTTGGCTGATCTTGACGGGATTTGGTAAACAAAATCGTGTCCCCCTATTCAATCTATCTAGGCAATCATAGCCGTTGATTCTCTTGTAACAGCTCATTGTGAAAGCTTGCTTAGTCCATCTTGCAAAGGCAGCGTGCTTCATTCCAAGTGGGTAATACAACGTTCTCGTTCATAAATGATACACAATGGGGTGGGTGGTGGGAAAGTAAACTAGAAAAGTTGGAAATGAAGAACGTGGGTGAAGGCGACTGAACCCACGTCCCTCTTTTGTAGGCAAAAGAGGGGTGAGTAGCGTCGAGCCGCTACCTTTGCTTTGCTGGCCACGTCCTCGCTTTCACAATACGAAATTTGAAAAAGTGTTACACTTTTAAAAATTATAATATTGTGAAAGCTTGCTTAGTCCATCTTGCAAAGGCAACGTGCTTCATTCCAAGTGGGTCTTCTGAGGCAAGTGCATTTTGGGTCGGCGGTGCCTCTCCAACGATTGCTGGTGCCGACCAGGCGACGGGGCTGCAGAGGTGTCCTGCAGCCGGGTGGAGAGGTCGATGAGTTGGTCTTGGGCGATGGTGACGTAGAGATCCTTCGCGCCGTCGCTGCGCCATCGCCCCATTCGTTTGAAGAGCCGGTCAGGGATGCCTAACGCCGCTGCTGCCGTTGCCGCGCCCTTGCGGAATGAGTGTGTCCCGATGTGTGTGGCGTCGAGCCCTGCCTTCTTGCACGCCTCGAGGCACCAGCTCCAAATGGTTGGGTATGAAGGCGATTTGTCGTGCGGCGAGGCCTGTGCCCTTTTGTTGAAAACCCGAATCAGTGGCCCGTGAGGCATGTTTGCAAGGCCTGCGATGCGAATGAACTCCCGTGTGCATCTCACTGCGCAGTAGGGCCCTGCTGACGCTGCGACCGGGATCCACGTGCCCTTGCCTTCTTGGTCCGTCTTAGAGTAGGGAATCAGTAGCCACATTGCCTCCCCTTCGAACTGAATGTCGTTCCATTGGAGGGAGATCAGGTCGGAGTAGCGCAGGAATGCCGCGAACATCAAGAGAGGTATCAAGCCTTTCTGATATTCCGCCGGCACTGTTGATTCCAGGAATGGTCGTGCCATGTTGTGCACTTGATGTAGTGACACGGGTTCCTTGGTCCTTGTTGGGCGTAGGCCATGTCGCATAGCGAACTCTCGTACTTGCAGCGTGAACGGGCCGTTCGTTGGGGATGCCTCTCCGGTCATTCGATGGGCGAAGGCTACGGCAGAGCATGTGAGGTTGATCGCTGACGTTGTTGCCTTGTTGTTCAACGCATGGACTAGGTAGAGTGCCAGCGTGAGGTCCGTCGCTGGCAGAAAAGCTAGCTTGACTCGGGTGCAAAAGTTGCGAAATTTGAGCCAGTAAGGCTGGTATGTCTCGATCGTAGACGGTGCGCGAACATCATTTATAACTTGTAACAGTTGGTTTTGAAGCTGGGTCAATAATCCTGAAAGAATTAACACTCGAATATTAGTCACGTATGATATTTTACATGCAAGACAATTATTGGGCTATGGGGTAGGCCTAGTCCGGAAAATGCTGTTGCATGCGAACCAGGTCGAAGGCACTGGCTGCCTTGAGCGAGTGGCAAGCATGCGATCACTTCTGGGGCCCATGTCTCTAGGGAGGGTTGTAGCAACGGCCACCATGCTGCTCCCGGCCACTTGGGGACGACGAGTGTCAACTCGGCTTGTGTGCGCCTGGCGTGAGAGAGTGTGGCTGGGATCAAGCCGGGGGGCGGAAAGGTGAAGCACCGCTCGCCTTTCCACGAGATCGAGAACGCGTCAATTGATGTGGCACTTGGGTGCGGTATCTTGGAGTAGAATCGTTGCAGCCTCCTGTTGCTAATGTTCGCGAAAAGGTCGATCGTATGGGGGCCCCATCGACGTTCCAGTAGGCGAAACCATGGCATGTGCAGCGAGTAGTCGTCATGGTCTTGGAGTTTTGACAGTTCGTCCGCGTGGGCGTTGAGCTCCCTTGGGATCCATTCGATTGCCAGACGTGTATGGTTCTTGAGGCAAAACTGTATGACTGCTTGACAAGTCAGTGTGAGCCGAGGTTGACTGGACCCCCCTTTGCGCAAGATAAACATGACTCCTTGGTTGTCCACGCGAACCAAGACGTGGCCGCCTGTGAGATGGGACGCAAATGTCTGTAGCGCCCAGAGGACACCCTCGAGCTCCCTTTGAGTGCTTGAGGTTGGGAGGAGCTCGCTCGGCATGCTGGTGCTTGCTTCGTACGACGCGTCGGTAAACTTGGTGAGGGTGGCGCCCCAGCTGTGAGCGCTCGCGTCGACGTGGATCACAGCATCGAATTGATGGCTTAGGTGAAATGGGGCACCGTTAAACTGGTCGAAGTGCAGTTGCCAGAAGATTAGCTCCTCGATGGCGGCCCGTGTCAGCCCGATCCTTGAGTTCCAGGATGCCGCTGTCTCGATCAATTGTAGCAGCTCGTGGCTGAAGGCGCGTGCTGTTGTGCCCAATGCGAGGGACATAGAGCTCAACATTCCGGTGATACGAGCGACTTCCCGAATTGGGACTTGCTGGCCGCGTTGCCCCTTGGAGATGAGTGTGTGCAGCTTGTCGAGGAACTGCGCTCGCCGATCGGAGCCGATGCTAAACATGCCGCATGTCGTGTCCAGCTCCATCCCCAAAAATCGTGTTTGATGGGCCGGCTGGAGGCGTGATTTCTTTTCGTTGATCACGAAACCTGCCGCCCCCAGGTCTCGGAGAACCTCTGTGCATGTCTTGCGTGCGTGCTCCGCCGAGTCGCAGAGGAATAGCAGGTCGTCCACATATGGGACTACGCGCACGCCCCGCGCCCGCCAGCGTTTGGCCAATTGCTTGATCAACTGGGTGAAGACGAAAGGTGCTGTCGCCAGTCCAAACGGCAAGGCTCGGAAGCAGTAGAACTCGCCTTCGAATTGGAAGCCTAGGAACTTCCAGCACGAAGGGTGCATCTCGACATGGTGGTAGCCCGATTTTAGGTCAATGGTGAACAGCCAGTCGTTGCGTCGAATGATCTCCGAAACGCGATTCAGGCCCTCGTATTTGAATTTAGTGACTTGGAGGTGTTGGTTGACCTTGCGTAGGTCGAGGATGAGGCGACATTTGTCGCGTTGTTCTACCACGTTGAGTGGGCTCACGCACGAGAGCGCAGTCCGCGAGGCGACCTTGGTTGCCGCGCCCGATGTGATTAAGTCGCGAATGGCCTCACGAGTGAACGTGGTATGTGCATGAACACCCGCGTGGTTTGTGGTTTCGAAGGGTGGCGGTTCTGTAGTTTTCCAAGGCAGCCAATATCCCCTGGCAATAATAGAGATGATAAAACTGCTATCGCACCACGATATCCACCAATGCAGTTGGTTACGCAATCGGTTGCGCATGACCTTCACTGTGTCATCTGTGGCCGCGTTCTCGTATGGGTCCCATTCCGCCTCTCGCCACTTGTCGTCCGCTACTGCACGTGGGGCAACCGGGGTGTGGTGTATTGGGTGATTAGCCTTTGCCCATAGGACCAGCCCGGGGGCTTATGCATACTCGGTGCTACGCCTTCCGTCTCTCCTTGTATCCTCCCTCCTCTAGTCTTCCTTTCTCCATGCTTCTTGCTCTCACTCTTTTTCTCTCTCTCTCTCTCTCTCTCTCTCTCTCTCTCTCTCTCTCTCTCTCTCTCTCTCTCTCTCTCACACACACACACACACACTCTCTCTCCCTCTCACTCTCTCGCTCTCGCTCTCTCTCTCTCGCTCTTGCTCTCTCTCGCTCTCTCTCGCTCTCTTTCCCTCCCTCTCCCTCTCTCTCTCTCTCTTTCTCTCTCTCCCTTTCTCTTCCTTGCGTTCTCTCTCTCTCTCTCTCGCTCGCTCTCTCGTTCTCTTGCTCACCCCTCTTCCGATCTTTCCATTTGCTCTTCTTCTCGAACTCTGCCCCGTATTCGCACGTTTTCCTTCCATCTCGTTTTCTTCCTCTTTCCTTCGTACTCTTCCCTTCAAGTCAGGGGGGCGCTTGGGCTGGAATGGCTGCCTTGGCTTTACTTCCTTCTCTCCCACTTTGTTTGGTTGCATGTGTGGGTGTTTTTTTTTTTTTTTTTTTGAAAACCAGAGGCAAACTTTTATTACCACACATGGGTACATAGTATGTACTGCCCCCATAGCTACCCTTATGGCTAGGGATTTCTAAGGCCTCCAGCCCATACTCCCTGCTAGCTACCAGCCATGCACCCTCGGTGCTCCACCTACGCCCCCCGGCATAGTGGCAAGGGGCTCCGCCCCGTGTGCCTCCTCACACGACGGGTGAGGGGCCTTGAGCGCCCCGCCCTCCCATAGGGCAAGCATTTGCCATATGGCCGGGCTGGCCGCATCGGAAGCACACCCCTTTGAAGCGGGGCTCGTGGCAGCTTGCGGGAGGCATGCCCTTGCCTTCCATGTCGCCATCTCGGGTAGGCATGCGATTACCGCGAGTGTAGCCGGCGCGTGCACGCTTGAGAGCCGCCACATCCGCAACGGCGAGTTGTAAGAGCGGGAGGTTAACACGCTCTTGGACTGGTATAGCTGAAAACGATCGGCAGCCTCGAACCCCGCCTCGTCCGCCACCAAGAGGACTTCGAAGCGCTTGTGGATGAGCGTTTCGATTTCCGCAACGTTGGCGAGTGCGCTTTCGATGTCGCCGTGCTGGAGCTTGAAATTGACGTGCTTCAGGTGTGCCTGGATAGCAGAGAAAACCTCCGCCTGATCGCGCACGCCCTTGCGCATGAAGGTGGTAGGTGCGGGTGTGGGGTTGAGGGGTGGAAGAGAAGGTGCTGGTGCAATCACGCGACGACGGGTGATGTTATTGGGGGCCTCACCATCATCGTTGTCTGAGTCGTCGCTGTCGGCTTGAGCGGTGATTGGTGCCGGTACGGGAGCGGGAAGAGGTGCGGCAGTGGTCTCGTTGACGCGAGCAGCCTTGTTTGCGCGGGGAGCGTTGACTTCTTTCTGATTTTCGATTTTTGCAGGTGCAGAATTATAGTCGGAAGAAGTTGCGATTGCTACTGGGGCTTGCTGCTGTAACATCGAAAGCAGTGCCTGCATCTGCTGCGCAGTGAGGGACGCGAGGGGGTTGACTGGGGCGGCTTCTGCTGGGGTCGCTGCCTTCTGTCGCTTCTGCAGGGTGGGCCCCGGCTGACCAGCGTCGCCGTCCGCGTCAGCCGGCGTTGACTTGACTGGCGCGCGCGGCTGCCTGGCGGCCACACGCTCGTCAGCAGGAGGCACGCGCGACTGTTTCACAGCCGCGCGTGCTTCTTCGGAGGGGGCTCGAGAGTTGCTCCCGAGCAACACTTCGACTCCTGAAGTGCCCTCGCCGAAATTGTCTTCGGCAGGGCGTTTTCCGCGGCGGTCGGTTGCCCCGGGCGCGTTCGCGTGCTCCGAAGCGTTTCCGGGGTTGTTGGTCTTTTCCGCCTCTCGATTAAGTACAGTGTTGGCGGGAGCCATATTCGCCAGGTTGTGTTGGAGAATGTCTGTGAGAAGGGTCGACGGGGACTTGAACCTCGGGAGAGATTGCGTCTTCGCCAGGATGAACGAGAACTAGGAAAGTAAACTAGAAAAGTTGGAAATGAAGAACGTGGGTGAAGGCGACTGAACCCACGTCCCTCTTTTGTAGGCAAAAGAGGGGTGAGTAGCGTCGAGCCGCTACCTTTGCTTTGCTGGCCACGTCCTCGCTTTCACAATACGAAATTTGAAAAAGTGTTACACTTTTAAAAATTATAATTTAATGCCCTTGAAGAATCGGAACTGAATGGCACTGCACCTATCATTATCTGTTGCAAGGTACACCTCGGACCGTGGACATGAGCCCATTGTCATGCTCATGCTGATCCCCACACAGATCTGCAATAGCAATACGAGTCCAACCAGGGGACAAGGGTTTGGGGAATGGGGTCAGAGAAGTGATCAACGTCTGATACATGCTCTAATACATGCCAAATTGTGGACCCCCGACCACTTCACCATCACACCCCCCTCTCCACCCCACCCCACATGCCTCGAACCCAACGGTGCCACACCGCGCATACACCCCACCCCTTGTACCTTGGAGCCCGGGAAGCCCGATTCAATGGAGGGCGGCAGCAGGCGGTGGCAGTAGATGCCGGGGTTCATGCAGTAGAGCTCCAGCGCACTCGGCGGCAGCTTCATCCCCGCCAGCACCGCCGCACACGTCGCATTCCCCACGCTCTCCACTGTCACCGTTTCACCACACACGGCCAGCAGTGCTGTGGCCCTCTCCACACAGATGGACAAACCCGTGGGTAGCGACTTGTCAGGCTCGCTGCTGCCGCCGCCGCCTAGAGGTGTTGTTGGTGTTGTTGTGGTGGTTGTTGCTGCGGTGATGGAGCAGTCGAGGCCCGGGTTGAGGCGGAGGAGGTCGGTGGTGCAGGGCTGGGAGGGGTCCGGGCAGGAGGCGGTGAGAGAGAAGAGGGCGGCGATGGACTCGCATGTGCCGTTCTGGTGGGGTTGATGAGGGGAGGAAGAGGTAATGGGGGTGGGGGAGGATGGAGAAGGGAAGGAGCGGGTTGAGGAGTGAAGGAGGAGTTGGGAGGGAGGGGAGGTTTGAGGCTGCTGGGAATTGGAAGCACTGGGGCAGGGGAGAGGTGGAGTGGGGAGAAGGAAGGGGAGCAGAGAGGAGGTGAGGATGGGGAAAGAGGCGGAGAGAAAGGGCGGTTAGGTGAAGAAGGGGAAGAAGAGTGGGGGGAAGAAGAGGGGAAGTGATGAAGTGGGGGATGCAAAAGAGGATGACACGAAAGGAGAATGCGAGGATTGCACATGTGCGCAGGCCACAAACACACGTGCAGGCCCACAAGTGCGTGAGCAAGGCATGAAAGCAAGTGAGAGAAAACGAAGGAAAACTGGGAGATGGGAGAACGGGAAGACGCAATGAAAACCGGGTGGCAAGGGGGGGGGAGGGTGGGGCGGAGGGCCGAGGGGAGGGGAGGGGAAGGAGGAGAGCGGGAGGAAGAATCAGCATGGGAGGGCGGCGGGTGAGCAGAAAAGAGCATGGGATGTGACTACACATGGTGCGGACAGTAGTGTGGACAGTGGTTCAGTTGAAATTACACCTGACACCAGCACGTGCAGCCCACCTGCACAGTGGTGTAGAAGACGGAGCAGGGCTGATAGTCAAGGCTGGGCTTCACGTTGACAACAGTGTCCACAGGAATGGGCTTGTCACACGCCAGCAACTGCACTTGGTTGACCGGGGGGGACAGTGGGGGAGAGTCGCAGTGGGAGCAGGGGTGTTTCTGAGGCGGTCGAAACAAGGGGATGGTCAAAACAAGGTGCTCATTTTCCAGCAACAGCAACTGGTCGAGGGGGGACCAGTGAGGGAGAGGAGAGGAGAGGAGAGGAGAACCCTGAGGCAACTCAAAATTCTGGAGTCCACGTGCCTGCAAAGTGGATATTGAAAGGAAGAGGCTTGTCACACAGCAGCATATGTACTCAGTGGACGAGGGGCACTGAGGGAGAGGCGCATTGAACTGTCTTATTCTTTGAGGCGCCTTGAAAAACGATGCTTGCCACAGAGCAGTGGGGATGGGGGGAAGTGGGGAAAGGCACGGCACACTGGAGGCTGATGGGTAGAGGTAGGGGTCAGATAGGGTCGGGGTATGGCAGGGCACGGAAACAGCCAGATGAGCAACTATCACCCACCCCTCCTCCTCCTCCCCCCCCTTCCTCCCCCAACTCTCGAATGGACTATATCCTGATCACTTTATATCCGTCTCTGCCCATACGATGCAATAAAGCTCTCATCCCATCCCATCCCATCCCATCCTCATCTCATCCCACCTCATCTCATCCCATACCCCATCCCATCATCCCATCACATCCCATCCCATCCCATCCCATCCCATCCCATCCCATCCCATCCCATCCCATCCCATCCCATCCCATCCCATCCCATCCCATCCCATCCCATCCCATCCCATCCCATTCCATCCCATCCCATCCCATCCCATCCCATCCCATCCCATCCCATCCCATCCCATCCCATCCCATCCCATCCCATCCCATCCCATCCCATCCCATTCCATCCCATCCCAACCCACCCCATCCCTGCAGCTCCCGCTCCCTTCCCGCACGCACCTCGTTCTGTTCGAGGAACTGGGCGAGCGTGAGGCCAAAGAGGGGGTGCACGTGGTAGCACCCCAAGGTGCTCACATTCACTGTGAAAAAGTTCTCACTAACGCCTGGGGGAGCGTGGGATGGGGGGTGCGGAATGGGGGGTGTGGGATGTGTCATGGAGGGTGTGGGATGTGGGATGGGGGTTGTGGGATGTGTCATGGAGGGTGTGGGATGTGGGATGGGGGGTGTGAGATGTGGGGGGGTTTATATGGTGTTGGATATTGCACCACTTTTACATTGCTCCAACGACTGCCTCTCAGGAACCCAAGCAGCAGCACTGGGCGGAACTGCTACTGGTGGCTGGTCAGGAAGAAGTGTGGCAAAATACAGAGACACTTTGGGGAAAAACGGAAGGGATTAAAGAACCTGAGAGTAAGGAGGGCAACAGCACATGTTTGCTGCAGCAGGAAGCAAGAAGCGGGACGTGGTAAGCAGGAGAGGAGTGAGGAAGGGAAGGGGGACGGGATGGGGGGTAGGGTACTGACCGGGGGCGCAGGAGGGTGCGCCGAATTCAGTGGTGCCGAGATAGAAGTTGGGTGGGCACACACAGGTGTATGCACCGTAGCCGTCATTCACACACGTGCCCACGCCGCAGGGATTCTTGTCACCCACGCCACATGCATCTGCATACACACCCATGCACACATGCACACACGCGCACACACGCACATGCACACACGCGCACACACGCACATGCACACACGCGCACACACGCACATGCACACACGCGCACACACGCACATGCACACACGCGCACACACGCACATGCACACACGCGCACACACGCACATGCACAAGCACACACGCGCACACACGCACACTCACACACTCGCACAAACGCACATGCACGCGCACACACGCGCACACATGCACATGCGCACTCACACACTCGCACACACGAGCACACGTGCACATGGACCCAGTTGTCAACAGACTCAGGTGGGAAGACAATGTTGGGGTTTGTCACCATGGGTGAGCAAGGCCTTACGACAATGATTAGACGCGACAGGGCATTGCAGCATGGGGAATGGGGGAGAGGGGGGAGGGGAGCATGCATGAGACAGCAATGCAGTGCAGCACATTGCTGCATGTCAAATGCCCCATGCCAGTTGCTGCATGCCAAATGCCCTTCGTGCTCCATGGCCCATGGTTGATGCCACGCTCCCTCCAACTCACCAATTTCACAGCCTCCAGTCATCCCACCCTGCTCCTGCCCCCCTCCTGCAGCAACCCCCCCAGTGGCAGAGCCTGTGGTTCCAATGGGGCAGGAGGAGACGTCGGAGTGGCAGTAGACGCTGGTAGGGGACAAGCGAGACACACCGAAGCAAGGGTCCGATGGGCCTGGTGGGGTGGTGGAGCAATGGGAGAAGAGTTTGTGCAGGGGTGTTCTGGTTGGTGGGAGAGGACGAGAGAGGTGGAAAGAGGTGGAGAGAGGTGGAGAGAGAGCCGTTTGCAGAGAGTGCTGTGCAGGAAAGGGCATACTGCGACTTAGTCATCGATGCATGCATCCACCCGCAAAGAGTGCTTTATGGAAGCACTCACCCACCCGCAGTCACACTCTTCCATACAACACACCGCTCGCGCGCGTGCATGCACGCATGCACACCCCCCCCCCCCAACAACCCCCCCCCCCCCCCCGCCCCTCCCCACACACACACACACACACCTGTCTGCAGTTTCCACCACTGCACGCGGTGTGCCTGCGCGGGGGAGGAAGAGGAGGATGATGCAGACAAGGAGAGGAACACCGAGGGCTGTGTCGGCGACAGCTTGATCACAGAGCAGAGCGAGAGAGGCACATCCAACAACGCTCGCCTTGGCTGCACCTTCATTGCTGCCACAAACACCCGCAGCCTCCCCTCCTGCCCTCCCCCTCCTCCTCCTCCTCCTCCTCCTCCTCCTTCTCCTCCTCCTCCTCCTCCTCCTCCTCCTCCTCCTCCTCCTCCTCCTCCTCCTCCTCCTCCTCCTCCTCCTCCTCCTCCTCCTCCTCCTCCTCCTCCTCCTCCTCCTCCTCCTTCTCCTCCTCCTCCTCCTCCTCCTCCTCCTCCTCCTCCTCCTCCTCCTCCTCCTCCTCCTCCTCCTCCTCCTCCTCCTCCTCCTCCTCCTCCTCCTCCTCCTCCTCCTCCTCCTCCTCCACTGCTCCCACCACCGCCAACAGGAGCAGGAGGATCGTACACGATCCAAATGTATCGTGGATCGCTGCTGTTGAGAAGTAAGGCGCCAACAGAAGCTGTGGCAATCGAGCGGCTGTTCCCCCCCACGTTGATCCCTACGTGGTTGCTATCCGGATCACCGCTCTTGGCATCAAACCATGTGTCTAGCTCCACTGCCACGCTCCTCTTGCCCATGCCCTTGTACCCCATGCCTGGCCCCCCTGTCGGCTCATTTGCACTTATCACAAAGGCTAGCCCGTCCCCTGCTGCTCCTGCTCCTGGCCTTGCCCCTGCTGCTGCCGCCTGCCTGCCCGCCGTGCTTACAGCTTCAGTGGAGGAGAGGAAGGGCGACGAAGCTAAGGAGGAAGAGGAGGAGATAGAGCGGGGGGGGTTGAGCTTTGTGACCTCGGGAGACATGGAGAAGGCGAAGGAGAAGTTGAAGGCGAGCTGGCGGCCGCAGGGATCCTGCGGGGTGGAGAAGGTGAAGAGCGTGACGAGCGGCAGCAGCGTCACGGCGCCCCACGCTCCGCGCACACCCGGGCTCACCAGCAGCTGCCGCAAGGGGCTGACAGGCAGCGGCACATCAAACGTGGAAACCACACCAGGATTATTTGCTGTTTCTCGAGGCACCACCCCAGTAACCCCTGCATCACCACCAACCGCTGCAACCCCTGCAACACTAGCAACTGCAGGAGTGTCAGCGGTCAGTTTTCCTGAGAAGATGGCAGAGCCTTTGAGGTGCACAGGGGGCGAGTCAGCGAGCGAGAGCGAGAAGGACGCAGTCTGCGCCTCCGGCACACAGGACCCCGGTGAAGCACAGTTCACATACCCCTCGTCGCACACACATATAGGCTTCCCTGCCTTGTCCAGCCGGCATGTACCCACGCCCGAGCAAGGCTTTTGATCCGGGGAGATGAGGCCGCAGAAGGCGAGGCAGGCGGCGGAGGGACGCTGGGGGTGGCGAGCGCAGCGGAAGGAGGAGGAGGGGGCGGGGTAGGAGAGGCAGTTGGAGCGGAGGGAGAGGGTGGCGGGGCAGGAGGAGAGCGCGGGTTGGCCGTAGAGGTAGTTGCTGTCTAGGAGCAGCGTGGCGAGGGATGGTGACCAGTCGGACGGGAGAAAGCCGGACAGCTGGTTGTTGCGTAGGTTGCTGGTGGGATTGGGGGGGCGGGCAGGGGAGATAGGGAGGGGATGAGGGCAGGGGAGGGGAGGAGGTGAAGAGGGGGAGGAGGTGAAGGAGGGGAGGAGGTGAAGGAGGGGAGGAGGTGAAGGAGGGGAGGAGGTGAAGGAGGGGACAGCAGAGCAGAAAACAACGATTGCTGATACCTAACTTCTTCTCCTTTCACCCTTCCGAGCTTTACGCAAACACCATAAATAACCTTTCCTTGCCTCTTCTTCCCTTCCCACTGGCTGACTTTGTTTCCGTTCCAGCTCCCACCTCTCGCCTCCTCCACACCCGTACACTCCAACGCTCACACTCCTTCCCACTCTTACAAAGACCTTCTGAGCGTCTCAAAAGTTTTCCCCATGCACATTCACCTAATCTCTAGCCTCTCTTTTTCCTGCCCTGTCTCTCTTTTTCCTGCCCTGTATTCCTCTTGCCGTGTTTCCCAGGAATACAGCTCCCTTATTAAAAAACTGTGGAAAAATAAGGCCAAGAGAAATGGGAAATTGAGAACAAGAGTGAGAACGGGAGTGGGAAGAGAATAGAGGAAGAAGGAAAAGGTCTCACAGCAATTTTAAGTTGGGCGGTGTGGTGAGGTAGAGGGGGATGGGGCCGTAGAGCCTGTTGTTGCTCAAATCCCTGCTCGCCATGCACGCGCACACACACACATGCACATGCAGCAATGCATGACGAGTGCATGGAAGGGAGGGAGTCATGGTGCACGGCGCAAGTAGACATGGATGATGTGAGTGATGCCATACAGAGCAGAGCAGCATTCAAGGGGTATGGCGCACGTCCTGCCTCTCGCCTCCCGCCTCTAGTGAGGGCGAGAGAGAAACTAGTGTGTGAGAACTCTCCTGTCACAAGAGAGCGTTCACAGTTGCTCGAAGGTGGATAGGCCAATTACTGCAGCGCCTCAGAATTAGACTGTCAAGAGAGGGGGGGCTCACAAATGGATTTTAGGACGCGAGTGCTCACAATTGCTCAAGGGCGGAGAGGTTGGCGAAGGAGGTGGGCAGTGACCCGGTGAGCTGCTTGTGAGTCAACATGCTGCCCGTGACACGGCGACAGTCCGCATGCATGAATGCGCCCGCCCGCGCACCGCGTGTTGAGAAGACAGAGAGCCAGCGCAGTGCAGCACACGCAGGCGAGGGAGAGTGGAGCCCAGCAGGCGCCCCACTCCGCCTTGAGCTCCTCCAGCACCGCCACTGCGCGCCCATTGACACGGGGTTCCCGAGAAGGGGGAACAGTGAGATAAAGAGAGGAAAGGGGGGGAGGATGGTCCACGGTTGTCGAGAAAGGGGCGCGGTAGGACAGGCGGAGGAGGGGGGAATGAGCCCGGGACGAAGGAGGGGCTGCGTGGGTGGCAGGGAGAAGGTAAAAGGTAGTAACGCCGCTAGGCGGATCTCAAGCTAGGCTTGGTAACCGCCGCTTGAGATCCGATTCTTTGAGAATTCTCAACCGCAGTTTCGGCTTGTGGTGAACACACCGCTTGAGATCCTGGCTTGGCTCGGCCGCCACGGGAAACCGTCGCGCAATCGCTACTTCTCGTGCTCCAAATTGCCTGTCCCTGCTGTATTCGTAGTCTGGGACCATCTATTTCGGAAGGACAGTGTCCTGACAGTGTCCTAAACTCGTGCTTCAATTTGACCCAACTTTGAACCAGCCGTGGTTTTCACAACATTTAGCAGGATAGGGTCTCACAATATTTCACTTAGAGATATCATCCAGGACAGATTTAGAAAAAATCGGGATTTAGAACTAGTTCTCGGTGTTTCTACGAGTACTAGGTTGCAGATGGGCTTACTGTCTGCCTCGTTTATAGTAATCTGCGCGGCGGCGAACAGGGAATACGCGGTGCGACGCCTATTAGTAGTACTAGTAGTACTGCCGCGCGAATAGCTCCGCTCCGCCAAGATCTTCCCTTCACCAGCTCCGCTTCCTCGGCTTCCTCCGCTTCCTCTGCTTCCTCCTCCCCCAAAGCTTTCTCTCAACGGTGACGGCCCCGCCATGGCATGCAGCAACGCGAGGGCGAGAGCTACCCGCGCGACAATGAGCGCGTGGCGACGCGGGCCCAGCTCCATGAGAGGGGTTGGCACAGTGATGATGAAGGTGTAAGAATCCGCCCTGGATTAATTGACGCCACAGACTCAGCTTGACGAGTTAAAACCAGAGCCTAGGATCAATCCGACGGGCTCGGAGCAAGGATTCCGTAGCAACTTAGATCACTGAAATCGCCCAAGAGTTGAGAGAGAAAACGTTGTTCATATGAAGATAGGTACACAAGTCGTACAAGGAATATATACTCTCTGTTTTGCTCTCTGGATTTATAACTAAAACACACATGCAGAATTGTAACATCGAACCGCGCGCGACTCGCCAGAAATTCGGACTCAGGATCGCGTCCAATTTCCGCGACGTCCGCGTTCATAATTTCGGACTTTGCCGGGTTCGTTTCTTCACGCCGACAATCGTGTGTTACAAGGATCAATAGCGAGTGTAGCGAAATGTTCGTAACATTCGCTTGCACCCTCGCTATTTTCGTGCATGCTTGTGGGGCTGCCAAGTGTCGCCCCCACAAATGTTCGGACCCAACCGAGGGAAGTTCGGTTGCGTGGCGACGCGGACAATCCGCCGTCACCCCAACCTTCCAAGAACGAACCCTCCCTTGGTCCGAGTCAAGGGAGGTCTTCGCGTGGGGGGCAATCCCGTCCCCCACACTTCCAACACTCCCCCTTGCACCCCACGCACACCTAAGCATGCAAGCCTACCCTAGCACAACATGCATGAAGAGCATCTCTAGGCAATGGCTTGGTGAGGAAGTCCGCGGGTTGGGAGTTGGTCTTGATGTAACGAAGCCCGACTTCGTTGTCTTCAACGAGCTTGCGAATGAAGTGGTGGCGGATTTGAATATGCTTGGTCCTTCCATGAAGGACCGAATTCTTGGCTAGGCCAATGGCGGCTTGGTTGTCCACGTAGATGGGAGTGGGGCCTTCTTGTTTGTGCCCAAGCTCGGCAAGAAGGCGACGTAACCAAACCGCTTCCGTACCACCACGAGTGAGCGCCACATACTCCGCTTCGGTGGAGCTAAGTGCAATCAAGTTTTGGCGCTTGCTTTGCCAACTTATTGCACCTCCCACGAGGGTGAAGATGTAGCCCGAAGTGCTTTGGCGGGTTGAAGGATCTCCCGCCCAATCCGCATCCGTGTAGCCTTGTAGCACCACGGGTCCCTTCTCGTAGTGCAACCCCATACGAGTGGTCCCCTTGATGTAACGAAGGAGACGTCGTGACGCTCGCACATGCTCGACCATGGGGTTGGAGACGACACGTCCAAGCACTCCAACGGGAAAGGAGAGGTCGGGTCGCGTGCTCACCGCAGCATACATGCATGACCCAACAACCGAGTGGAAGGTCTTGGCGCTCTCGGGATCCATCGGTTTTTCATCGCTCACCGCCAAGGGATGAAACACCGCTTCCATAGGTGTCGGTGTAGGCTTGCTCTCGATCATGCCGAAGCGATCCACCACACTCTCCAAGTACTTATGTTGGTGGAGAGCGAGGGTCTTGTTCCCTCGATCGCGATCAATGTGCATCCCTAGGTAGTGGGAGACGGCGCCGAGGTCACGCATGGAGAATTCGGCGGCAAGCTTCGTCTTCACGTCCGCTACAAGGGTCTTGCAATCCGACACGAGGAGAAGGTCGTCAACGTAGAGGAGAAGAACGAGCTTCTTCTCGTCCTTGTTGAGCACGTATAGCGCGTGGTCACACTCGCTCCGCACGAACCCCAAGGAGAGCAAGTGATCGTCGATCCTCGTGTACCATGCACGAGGGCTTTGCTTGAGGCCATAGATCGTGCGCTTGAGCTTGCACACGCGGTCGGAGTCGTCGTCGAACCCGGGAGGTTGCTTCATGTACACCTCCTCCTTGAGACGACCGTAGAGAAACGCCGTCTTCACGTCGAGTTGTTCCACCTCCAAGTCGAGTGCTCCCGCCAACGCCAAGAGAGTGCGCAACGTAGCGGACTTAGCGACGGGAGCGAACGTCTCGTTGTAGTGAAGACCCTCCTTTTGAGTATAACCTTGCGCCACAAACCGCGCCTTGTACCGCTCCATTTCTCCGTTGGGGCCGAGCTTCTTCTTGAAGACCCAACGAGAGCCAACGAGGTAGGCGCCCGGGGGCATGGGGACGAGCTCGTAGACGTCGTTCGCCATGAGCGAATCGTACTCCTCTTGAAGCGCACGTTCCCATTCCGCCGCTTCCGCCGAGCCCATGGCGCCTTGGTAGGTGGACGGTGTGTCGGTGTATGCCTCAAGACACATGGCATCTCCCCCTCCCTCATCATCCCCCGCCACAAGAGAGTAGCCATCCAACTTGAAGTTGGGACGAGGAGTCCTCCGAGTGCGAGTGGATGCGAGGGTGGGAGTGATTTTGGGAGGAGGAGATGAAGGGTCACTTTCCTTGGCATGTTCTTCATCCGCAATCACTCCAACCGCACCCGATCCATTCTCCCCCTCACTCGTACGAGGAGGAGAAGCCATAGGAGCAACATCCGCCTCATCCGCGGCATCCAAGGAGGGAGGGTCAATGATGACCGAGGGCACGTGCATCGACTTGGACGGGAAGGTGTCTTCGTAGAACACCACGTCGCGCGACACCACGAGCTTCCCGTGCTCCAAGTCCCACACACGCCACGCCTTGTGATCCGCGCTTGGACCCAAGTACATCGCCACCCGCGCCTTCGCCTCAAGCTTGGTCCGTGTGGCATCCGGGACATGGTAGTAGCACGTACACCCAAACGTGCGAAGGTCGGTGACGTCCGGCTTCGTACCGCTCCAAGCCTCAAGAGGCGTCGTGTTCGGCAACGCCTTGGTCACGCACCGGTTGCGAATCCATGTTGCCAACGTAACCGCCTCACCCCACCAATGCTTCTCCGCTTGAGCATGGGAGAGGAGACTCCGTGCCGACTCCATGAGCGTGCTGTTCAAGCGTTCGGCCGCACCATTTTGTTGAGGCGTGTACGGCGTCGAAAACTCATGCGCGATCCCACGCCCTTCCAGCCAATCGCCGAGCTCCCGAGCGGTGTATTCGCCACCGCCATCCGAGCAAAAGCGCTTCACCTTGAAGCCGCTTTCCGTCTCCACATCCGCTACCCATTTCTTGATAGCGGTTGACGTGACGTCCTTGCTCTTGAGAAGCCGAATCCAACACATCCGCGTCGCGTCGTCAAGGAGCGTGAGGACGTAGCGCGCGCCGCCCTTCGACGCGGGAGTGATGGGTCCACACAAGTCGGTGTGAATGAGCTTGAGAGGTTCGGTGGCGTTGGGCTTCGTGCTTGGTGGAAATGGCTTCCGAGCCATTTTCCCTTCAAGGCAACCGACACACTTCTCGTCGTCTCCACTCGAGCGCAAAAACTCCAAGCCATCGACAATCCCCTTTGTTGCCATAGCTTGAATAGCGGCGTGGTTGAGATGGCCATACCGATTATGCCACGTCGAGAGAGTTGTTGTCGAGGTAGCCGCTTGAGCCGTCGCCACACTCGGAAGAGCGTCGAGCATGAAGAGTCCTCCCGCTTGGCGTACCGTGCCAATGTGTACGCCGTCCGCCGTGCTCAACACCATCGTGCTCCCTTCAATATTCACACGCATCCCCTTGCGTGTAAATTGGGAAACGGATAGGAGGTTGGCGCCGAGCCCGGGAACCACCAAGACGTTCTTGATGGTGAGTGGACCGACATCCACCATGAGCCGCAAGTCGCCTTGTCCCGTGACATCCAAGGTGTCACGGTTGCCGAACATCACGCGCTTAACGGGAGCCACCGTTGTCACGTTGTTGAGAAGCGTCGCGCTCGCCGTCATGTGTTGAGTAGCACCCGTATCGAGTACCCACGCGTCAACACCACCGACGGTCATTCCACTTGCGACGAAGACGAACTCCCGGTCGTCGTTGTCGCATGTCGCCACATGCGCGCGCCGGTTGTCGTCACTTGAAGACGGCCTCCAATTCCCCGGTTTAACGGGACAATCGCGCCACCAATGTCCCGTCTTCTTGCAAAACCGACAAGCTCCCTCTCGCGCCCGAGCTCGATTGGCGTTGGCCGATCCTCCTCGTGATGAGCTTGAGGCCGCCGCGCTCCCGTTCGAACTCCCGCGGTTGTTGCCGTCGTTGCGCCGCTTGAAGTGACCCGACCCTTTCGCCTTCGCATCGCGGGAGAAGTGTGCCGCGCCGATTGCATCGCCATGCAACTTCGCGCGCCTCGCCTCTTCGTTGATGAGGCGTGCCACCACTTGCTCCTTCTTCCATGTATCTTGCGTCCCATCCAACACCGTGATCACCGTTGACCATGCTTCACCGAGGCCCGCGAGGAGCGTCATGATCCAATCGTTGTCCTCCACGCTCGCGTCGAGTTCCACCAAGCGCTCGCCAAGCTCCTCCACGCGGTTAACGTACGCGCACATTGACTCGCCGTCCTTCATCCGCACCGTGAAGAAGTCGAGGCGCGCTTGAAGCTTGCTATGAAGCGACTTGGAGACGTGCTCTCCTTCGAGTCGCTTCCACGCTTCACGAGTCGCGCCGTCACGGTCGATGCAAGGGCTCACGATCGGGACGAGTTGGAGGCTTAGCTTGGAGACAAGAAAGGCAAACCCCTTTTTGTCCTTGCGCACCCACGCTTCCTTCTCCGCAGTTGAAGCGTCCGACGTGGGCTTCGATGCCGACCCATCGAAGAATCCCCACAAGTTGCGCTCCGTCATGTAGACTTTCAACTTGAAGCGCCACGAGGAGAAATGTTCCCCGGTAAAAATTGGCACCGCGCTCAAGTCGACAACGTGCGGGGTTGTCGAGAAGTCCGTTGGGAGGGAAGGGGCCGTTGGCGTATTCGTCGTCGACGAATTATCGGAGGAACCCATGGCGTAGCAACGCTTGAGCGAGCACTCCTAATCTAGCTCTCATACCATGTAAGAATCCGCCCTGGATTAACTGACGCCACAGACTCAGCTTGACGAGTTAAAACCAGAGCCTAGGATCAATCCGACGGGCTCGGAGCAAGGATTCCGTAGCAACTTAGATCACTGAAATCGCCCAAGAGTTGAGAGAGAAAACGTTGTTCATATGAAGATAGGTACACAAGTCGTACAAGGAATATATACTCTCTGTTTTGCTCTCTGGATTTATAACTAAAACACACATGCAGAATTGTAACATCGAACCGCGCGCGACTCGCCAGAAATTCGGACTCAGGATCGCGTCCAATTTCCGCGACGTCCGCGTTCATAATTTCGGACTTTGCCGGGTTCGTTTCTTCACGCCGACAATCGCGTGTTACAAGGATCAATAGCGAGTGTAGCGAAATGTTCGTAACATGCAGTGGGGGGCAATCCCGTCCCCCACACTTCCAACACTCCCCCTTGCACCCCACGCACACCTAAGCATGCAAGCCTACCCTAGCACAACATGCATGAAGAGCATCTCTAGGCAATGGCTTGGTGAGGAAGTCCGCGGGTTGGGAGTTGGTCTTTGTCAGAATGAGAATGAATCACTAGAATGAGGGTTGGGTACAAATAGGTCAAACCTAACCCTAGAAATGTGTACCCACTATAGGCTAACCCACTGTAGCCTAAACAACCACAACATACAATGTTTGACACACCCCCATAGGCAAAGTGGGGGAGAACAAGGGGTCACAAGACCAGTCAAAGCAAAGCAAAGCTCAGGGTGGATCTCAAGGATACCACACAAGTTCCGAGCACAAACAAGTGGTCACAAGACCAGTTCACATGCAGATTTATAAAAGAACAAGAGATACAGTGATCACAACCTAGCAAGAGTAAGCATGCAGGTATATATATATAGAGATCACTGTACAAGCAAAGTCACGAAGTGAGCAAATGAGGGACAGTAGGCACGAGGCCTAGAACAGTACAGAAGCGCTGATGGTCACAAGGCTGAAGCGCCTTGGTGAACACGTCAGCAGTGTTGGCCCGAGTGGCCACGTAACGCAGACAAAGCTGACCTCGCTGCTGCAACTCTCGAGCAAGAAAGTAGCGCAGAGCAATGTGCTTCGTCCTGTGCTCCAGTCTGTGCTCCCCACACAAGGCAATGGTGGCCTTGTTGTCGACGTACAGCACTGGAGGAGAACGAGGCTGCTCTCCAAGGTCAGTCAGCAGGTAGGTGAGCCAGCGAAGCTCCTGGGCAGCCATGGCCGTGGCGTAGATCTCAGCCTCACAGCTGGAGCTGAGAACAGAAGAAGAGCGAGTAGAACGCCAAGAGACAGAGCCTGAGCCAAGGCTGAAGGTGTAACCCTGGGACGACCGCTGCGTAGCCTGGTCGTCTGCCCAAGAAGCGTCGGAGTGCCCAGTGAGAACAGGCCGGTCTCGCCCTCCAAGCACTAGCCCCATGCCCGACGTACTGCACAAGTAGCGCAACACCCTCTTAGCTGCATCCATGTGCTCCTTCCGGTGACGGCCGGGAGCGACATAGCGTGCTAAGATGCTGAGAGGGTATGCAAGGTCAGGTCGAGTGCAGGTCATCAGGTACATGAGGCAGCCCACAAGCTCTGGATACGGACCACTCGGCTCTACGGACTCATCCGAAGGCAGAGCTGAGAGCGAGTGTCCCGTAGGCAGAGGAGTGGACTGAGGCGAGGAGTACGTGAAGCCGAAGCGCTGAAGGACCTGCTGCACCATGTGTGACTGAGTCAAGGTGATGGTGCGCCGTGCTCTGTCCCGGGTGATCCGCAAGCCAAGATAGCTTGTCAGTTCACCCAGGTCTGTGCACGTGTGTCTCTTCTGCAGCTCGGACTTCACGTGAGCGAGACCAACTGTGTCAGAAGTGGCAAAGACCAAGTCGTCGACGTACACGAGGATGTAGAACGGCGGCAGTGAGGGGTCGGTGCGTAGAAACAGCGACGGGTCAGCAGTAGAAGGAGCGAACCCAAGAGCCGCAAGTGTAGTCCTCAGTGTGTCGTGCCACTCACGTGGCGCCTGGCGGAGACCGTAGACTGGCCGCCGGAGGCTCCACTGGGTACCAGGGGGGAACGACCCAGTGAAGCCGGGTGGGCGGCGCAGCCAGATCTCCTCGTGCAGGCTGCCCTGCAAGAAAGCTGTGCTGAAGTCAAGAGAGTGGAGCTCGTAGTCACGCTGAGCGGCGACGTGTAGCAGAACCCGAAGAGTGGTCATCTTCGGGGTAGGGGAGAAGGTCTGGAAGAAGTCAACTCCCTCTCGCTGACTGAAGCCTCGTGCAACGTAACGCGCCTTGAAGACAGGCGGAGAGCCCGGCGGCCGCTTCACCCTGAAAATCCACATGCCACTGACGATGTTCGCCCCAGGTGGGGGAACCTCGTCGACGTAAGTGCCAGTGGACTTCCAGGAAGCCATCTCTGTGTCCATGGCTGACTGCCACTGAGAGGAGTAGGGACCGGCCATCGCCTCTGCGTAAGAGCGTGGGGTCGGGATGTCTGGTGCATCCGGGTCTCCCTCAGGGGCAACAAGCATGGACACGAGATGGGGCAAAGCAGCGGCAAGGCAACCAAACTCCTCCTGCCTGTCCTCAAGAACGTCCGTGCCAAGAGCACACTCACCCCAGACGGACGGAGGACAGACAGACTCAGACTCAGCAACAAGACTCGCAGCGTAGTCTAGACGACACGCAGCTGCAAAGTCGACAAGCTCAGTGACTAAGGCAGACGCAGCAGCGGACTCAAAGGAAGGGTCAGTGACAACCGTAGCCAGGAGACGTGTGACAGTAGGACTGGCAGCGCGAAGGGAGTCTGACTCGGGGTCAGCAAGAGCAGGAAGAGAGGACGCAGGAGGCGACGGGAGAGCGACACGCTGCGGAGCAGTGGACTGACGAAGCGCCATCTGGTGAGTGCCTGGGACAGCAGGAGGACGCTCACGCGGGACACGACTACCAGTGGTAGCAGCTCGAACAGGCGACGCTCGACGAGACGCAGGTGACACAGGACGTGACGCAGGCTCACGTCTCTCAGCAAGACCTCCACTCGGACCAGTGTAAGGAGTAGGCACAGGGAGTGGGGAGGCAGGCGGTAACTGTGGCTGTGACTGGACAGACGGCGGACACTCTAAGGCAAGAGGAGGACAAGGAGGAGGACGCTGACCAAGAACCTGCTGAAGGAGCGGAACGAAGTACGGCCGTGGCCGTGCAGCAACTCTCGAACCTGCAGAGACACCAGCGGCAGCAGCAGCACCTCCAGCACCAGGGTCCTCAGTACTAGCAGCACCTCCAGCAGCACCGCCAACAGCAGCAGAACCTCCAGCACCAGGGTCCGCAGCACCCGCAGCAGCTCCAACGCCCGGGTCCTCAGTACTAGCAGCACCTCCAGCAGCACCGCCAGCAGCAGCAGTACCTCCAGCACCAGGGTCCGCAGCACCCGCAGCAGCGTCAACTCCGGGGACCCCAGCACCAGCAGCTCCACTCCGGAGACTAATGTGCCGAGCGTACCACTCTCGAAGCTGTGGGGAAGAGGGCGGCTCCCGTCGTGGTGGGGAAACACTAGTACCAACTCCAGTAGCACCACGAGCCCGAGATGCACCCCGCCGGAGGCTGCAGTACCGTGAGTACCACTCACGTAGCTGCTGCGAAGAGGGAGGTCCTCCAGGCGCCTCACAGTCAACTGCAACACCACCTGGCTCAGCACCCCCAGTCTCAGCAACGCCAGGCTCAGTACCCTCAGACCCAGCACCCCCAGGCTCAGCACCCTCAGTCTCTATACCCCTAGACCCAGCACCCCCAGGCTCAGCACCCCCAGCCTCAGCACCCCCAGACTCAGCACCCCCAGGCTCCGCCCGCTCAGGCTCCGCACGCTCAGGCTCAGCACCTCTAGCAGGACGCGAGTCGACCGCTACCTCGGCAGGCTCAACCGGGTCTACCTGAGAGACACCTGAGGGAGCGGCACCCTGAGGGGGGAGGGGGTCTACCACTGCAGCACCTGGCGCGAGGAAGAGAGGCGGGGGAGGGAGCGGGGCAGTGCGGTAGGGGAAGAGGCGGTAGAAGGGCACGGACTCGTCAAAAGTGACGTCCTGAGAGGGGAAGACGCGGTGCGAGGCGGGGTGGTAAAACTGCCAGCCAGACGCATCCGGGACAAAGCCAAGAAAGACACACGGAGCAGTGCGGGAGGAGAGCTTGTCCGCAGACGTGTCGCGAACAAAAGCTCGGGATCCCCAGACACGGAAGCGTGACGCATCGCCAACCTCCCCCGTCCACAGCAGTGTGGGCGAGGTCTCCGGAGCGGAGACACGGGGCCAGAGGTTGAGCTGATGCGCAGCGTACCGGACCGCAAACGGCCACAGAAAGTGGGGGGCAGCCGCGTGGACTAAGGAGGTACGAGCGACCTCCATGACCAAGCCAATGCGGCGCTCAGCAACCCCATTCTGCTGTGGAGAGGCCGGGAGCGTGAACGACTGGCGAATGCCGTGCTCGGCACAGTAGGCTGCCAAGAGGTCGGAGGAGAACTCGCCACCTCTGTCAGAGTGCAAGCGCAGGACAGGAAACTCCGAGCGAAAACGCTCTCGCAGCTGAAGCCGTGCTCTGCTGATCCAAGGGATCAGAACATCAGGGACTTCACCCTTGGTGCGCAAGGGGAAGACCGTGGTGTAGCGCGAGTAGTCGTCAACGACGATCAAGAAGTACCTCTCCTGGCCCTGACCACGGACGCGGGCTGGGCCCCACACGTCCATGTGGAGCGTCTGCAAAGGAGCAGTCGTCGGGGGGAACGAGGAGGAGTGAGGGGCAGCGCGCTGCCGCCCCTCGACACAGGGAAGACAAGGAGGAGCAAGGGAGGGTGGGAGGGGAGGGAGTACCCGAGGAAGACCAGAGACAAGGTACCGGGCGTGCATGCCCCGAAGGCGCTGCACTGACGGGTGACCAAGTCGGTGGTGCCAGAGGACAGTCTTGTGCGCTAGAGAGCGACACGAGCAGGGGGCAGAGAGCTGACCTGACGCAGACGCAGACGCAGACGCTGCTACCTGAGGGGACTCAGTGGTCAGTGTGTACAGGTCCGACCCCGGCTGTCGAGTGAAGGTAGCCAGGTGACGGCCCGTCCGAGCACACGTGCAGTGTGTCACGCGCTCGTAGGCAGGGGTGAACTGGTGAACACCCCCATCCTGAAGCGCACAACCCGCCACCAAGTTCGTAGAGAACGAGGGGAGGTGGAGACCTGACAGTGTGCCCGACGGGACAGCAGGACAAGGAAGGAGGGTGGAGGAGGTCGCAATGACCGGACCCCCAGAGGGGTTAGCGAGTGAGACAGCAACTGGTCGAGCAAGGGGCTCAAGGGCAGTGCGGTCACGAAAGAAACAGTGCGAAGCGCCTGAGTCTAGAGTGAAGGTGTGCAGTGCCTCGGTGGACTCAGTAGTACCTGGGGTGGCAGACACACAAGCACCTAGAGCAGTAGCCTCACCAGCACCTGGGGCAGCGGACGCGCAAGCACCTAGAGCGGCAGCCTCACTCGTGCGGATGCCTGGGTCAGGCGGAACACACAGGTACTGGTCCTCCTCTCCACTTATAGTCAATGCATACATGGCTTTGAGAATAACATCAAAATCAAGAGCATAGATATCGATATCCTTCTTGAGGAGATCAGCCCACTGAGGGAGCTCAGGAGCGTCAGGAAACTGAGCACGCCAAGCGTCATCTAGGCGAGAGAAGCAGCGCTGAGCAGTGTGCGCCCTCCCGCACGTCTGTCCCTTGCGGCGACCAGTGCGGATGACGTACGTGCAGCTAAGGCTACCCCCCCCACCCCCGTGCTGTAAGTACCACTCACGAAGCTCCTGGGAGGACTGAGGGTGCTGCGCGCTCTGGCCAGGGCCAGAGCCTCCACGACCACCACCACCGCCTCCACCACGACCACCACCGCCCCTGCCGCCGCCACGTCCACTGACGCCACTACCACCGCCCCCACCCCGACCACCGCCGCCGCCGCTGCCTCCACCACCCCCACCGCTGCCACTAGCCCCTCCAGCCCCGCCACCGCCCCCACCGCCGCCACCACCCCCACCACCGCCTCCCCCGCCGTCACCCCCACCGCCCTTGCCTCCCCTGCCCTTGCCGCTGCGGCGCCCGCTGGGAGCGGACGCAGAGCCGACCTGCTCAGCACCAAGGAGGTCGACAGCAGCAGCAGAGGCGACAGAGGGGAGCAGGGGGGAGGGGGAACACCCCTCGAAGAAAGGGGTGCGGGGGTCGCCACGAGAGGCACCTACAGCTACAATACTCTTCTCAGCTGCAAGTAGTTCCTTCTCTAGGGCGGCAATGGTGAGCTCAGAGGGGCAGCGAGCTAGGAAGTGGTCCCTGACTGTACGCAGAGTGTCAGGGAGGCGGGTGACTAGGTGGTAGAGAGTGAGCCAGAGCGGGGGAGGGTTGGAGGCAAGAAACTCAGCGGGCATGGCTGCACGGAAGCGGGCATCACTAGTGCGGAGGTGAGTGATGAGGTCAGCGACTGTCTGGAAGGCGGACAGGTCGGGGAACAGGTAGGGAAGCGAGAGGCGGCCTAGTGCAGCTGAGGCCGGGGAGGAGTATCGCGCAACTACAGCAGTGTAGAGGGCCTGCGCAGTCTGATGCTGGCCAAAGTGCTCGCGCTCATCGACTGGCAGGGAGTTGCGAATGGCAAAGCGGGCGTGGGCATCGCGAGTCTGCCACTGCGAGCGAGCAGTAGCGGTAGCAGTAGTAGCAGGAGCAGGGACTGTGCCTAGTGCGTGATCGTACAGCGAGATATCCTCTCGGGCAGTAAGCTGGAGGAACAGGTGCAGATCATCGAGCCAGGTCTCAAACTTAATCGGGCGGCCCTCAGTATCGAACGAGAGAACTGTAGGGCTAGCCATAGTTGCAGCAGTAGCAGTGGCAGTAGTAGTAGTAGCAGTAGGGCGGCGCGGCTCGGCTAGGGCGGCGCGGCTCGGCTAGGGCGGCGCGGCTCGGCTAGGGCGGCGCGGCTCGGTCGGGTCGCGCGGCTCGGTCGGGTCGCGCGGTTCGGCTCGGTCCTAGAGAGGCGAGCGCGGGGCCGGGTGGGGCTGTTAAGGGAGAGCGCGGGGCCGTCCAGGGCGAGGGCGAGGCCGGTTGGGGGCCGTTCGGGGCTAGCGCGGGGCCGTTCGGGGGCCGTGAAAGGCTAGCGCGGGGCCGACGGGGGCCTTAGAGGGCTAGCGCGGGGCCGAGGGGGGGGCCGTGAGAGGCTAGCGCGGGGCCGACGGTGGCCTTAGAGGGCTAGCGCGGGGCCGAGGGGGCCGTGAGAGGCTAGCGCGGGGGGCCGTACGGGGCCATTCGGGGCTAGCGCGGGGCCGTTCGGGGGCCTTTGAGAGGCTAGCGCGGGGCCGACGGGGGCCTTAGGGGGCTAGCGCGGGGCTAGCGCGAGGCCGACGGGTCCTTAGGGGGCTAGCGCGGGGCCGCACGGGGCCTTGAGAGGCTAGCGCGGGGCCGTAAGGGGCCTTAAGGGGGCGACGCGAGGGGCCGTGAGGGGCCTTAAGGGGCGACGCGAGAGGGCCTTAGGGGGCCTTAAGAACAAGGCGCTTGAGGCGCAGGAAAAGGCGGTGCACGAGGGCGCGACTAGCGGAAACGGTGGGCCCTATCGTTTCGGTCCTAGGTGAAACCTAGGCTCGTAATACCATGTCAGAATGAGAATGAATCACTAGAATGAGGGTTGGGTACAAATAGGTCAAACCTAACCCTAGAAATGTGTACCCACTATAGGCTAACCCACTGTAGCCTAAACAACCACAACATACAATGTTTGACAGTCTTGATGTAACGAAGCCCGACTTCGTTGTCTTCAACGAGCTTGCGAATGAAGTGGTGGCGGATTTGAATATGCTTGGTCCTTCCATGAAGGACCGAATTCTTGGCTAGGCCAATGGCGGCTTGGTTGTCCACGTAGATGGGAGTGGGGCCTTCTTGTTTGTGCCCAAGCTCGGCAAGAAGGCGACGTAACCAAACCGCTTTCGTACCACCACGAGTGAGCGCCACATACTCCGCTTCGGTGGAGCTAAGTGCAATCAAGTTTTGGCGCTTGCTTTGCCAACTTATTGCACCTCCCACGAGGGTGAAGATGTAGCCCGAAGTGCTTTGGCGGGTTGAAGGATCTCCCGCCCAATCCGCATCCGTGTAGCCTTGTAGCACCACGGGTCCCTTCTCGTAGTGCAACCCCATACGAGTGGTCCCCTTGATGTAACGAAGGAGACGTCGTGACGCTCGCACATGCTCGACCATGGGGTTGGAGACGACACGTCCAAGCACTCCAACGGGAAAGGAGAGGGCGGGTCGCGTGCTCACCGCAGCATACATGCATGACCCAACAACCGAGTGGAAGGTCTTGGCGCTCTCGGGATCCATCGGTTTTTCATCGCTCACCGCCAAGGGATGAAACACCGCTTCCATAGGTGTCGGTGTAGGCTTGCTCTCGATCATGCCGAAGCGATCCACCACACTCTCCAAGTACTTATGTTGGTGGAGAGCGAGGGTCTTGTTCCCTCGATCGCGATCAATGTGCATCCCTAGGTAGTGGGAGACGGCGCCGAGGTCACGCATGGAGAATTCGGCGGCAAGCTTCGTCTTCACGTCCGCTACAAGGGTCTTGCAATCCGACACGAGGAGAAGGTCGTCAACGTAGAGGAGAAGAACGAGCTTCTTCTCGTCCTTGTTGAGCACGTATAGCGCGTGGTCACACTCGCTCCGCACGAACCCCAAGGAGAGCAAGTGATCGTCGATCCTCGTGTACCATGCACGAGGGCTTTGCTTGAGGCCATAGATCGTGCGCTTGAGCTTGCACACGCGGTCGGAGTCGTCGTCGAACCCGGGAGGTTGCTTCATGTACACCTCCTCCTTGAGACGACCGTAGAGAAACGCCGTCTTCACGTCGAGTTGTTCCACCTCCAAGTCGAGTGCTCCCGCCAACGCCAAGAGAGTGCGCAACGTAGCGGACTTAGCGACGGGAGCGAACGTCTCGTTGTAGTGAAGACCCTCCTTTTGAGTATAACCTTGCGCCACCAACCGCGCCTTGTACCGCTCCATTTCTCCGTTGGGGCCGAGCTTCTTCTTGAAGACCCAACGAGAGCCAACGAGGTAGGCGCCCGGGGGCATGGGGACGAGCTCGTAGACGTCGTTCGCCATGAGCGAATCGTACTCCTCTTGAAGCGCACGTTCCCATTCCGCCGCTTCCGCCGAGCTCATGGCGCCTTGGTAGGTGGACGGTGTGTCGGTGTATGCCTCAAGACACATGGCATCTCCCCCTCCCTCATCATCCCCCGCCACAAGAGAGTAGCCATCCAACTTGAAGTTGGGACGAGGAGTCCTCCGAGTGCGAGTGGATGCGAGGGTGGGAGTGATTTTGGGAGGAGGAGATGAAGGGTCACTTTCCTTGGCATGTTCTTCATCCGCACTCACTCCAACCGCACCCGATCCATTCTCCCCCTCACTCGTACGAGGAGGAGAAGCCGTAGGAGCAACATCCGCCTCATCCGCGGCATCCAAGGAGGGAGGGTCAATGATGACCGAGGGCACGTGCATCGACTTGGACGGGAAGGTGTCTTCGTAGAACACCACGTCGCGTGACACTACGAGCTTCCCGTGCTCCAAGTCCCACACACGCCACGCCTTGTGATCCGCGCTTGGACCCAAGTACATCGCCACCCGCGCCTTCGCCTCAAGCTTGGTCCGTGTGGCATCCGGGACATGGTAGTAGCACGTACACCCAAACGTGCGAAGGTCGGTGACGTCCGGCTTCGTACCGCTCCAAGCCTCAAGAGGCGTCGTGTTCGGCAACGCCTTGGTCACGCACCGGTTGCGAATCCATGTTGCCAACGTAACCGCCTCACCCCACCAATGCTTCTCCGCTTGAGCATGGGAGAGGAGACTCCGTGCCGACTCCATGAGCGTGCTGTTCAAGCGTTCGGCCGCACCATTTTGTTGAGGCGTGTACGGCGTCGAAAACTCATGCGCGATCCCACGCCCTTCCAACCAATCGCCGAGCTCCCGAGCGGTGTATTCGCCACCGCCATCCGAGCGAAAGCGCTTCACCTTGAAGCCGCTTTCCGTCTCCACATCCGCTACCCATTTCTTGATAGCGGTTGACGTGACGTCCTTGCTCTTGAGAAGCCGAATCCAACACATCCGCGTCGCGTCGTCAAGGAGCGTGAGGACGTAGCGCGCGCCGCCCTTCGACGCGGGAGTGATGGGTCCACACAAGTCGGTGTGAATGAGCTTGAGAGGTTCGGTGGCGTTGGGCTTCGTGCTTGGTGGAAATGGCTTCCGAGCCATTTTCCCTTCAAGGCAACCGACACACTTCTCGTCGTCTCCACTCGAGCGCAAAAACTCCAAGCCATCGACAATCCCCTTTGTTGCCATAGCTTGAATAGCGGCGTGGTTGAGATGGCCATACCGATTATGCCACGTCGAGAGAGTTGTTGTCGAGGTAGCCGCTTGAGCCGTCGCCACACTCGGAAGAGCGTCGAGCATGAAGAGTCCTCCCGCTTGGCGTACCGTGCCAATGTGTACGCCGTCCGCCGTGCTCAACACCATCGTGCTCCCTTCAATATTCACACGCATCCCCTTGCGTGTAAATTGGGAAACGGATAGGAGGTTGGCGCCGAGCCCGGGAACCACCAAGACGTTCTTGATGGTGAGTGGACCGCCATCCACCATGAGCCGCAAGTCGCCTTGTCCCGTGACATCCAAGGTGTCACGGTTGCCGAACATCACGCGCTTAACGGGAGCCACCGTTGTCACGTTGTTGAGAAGCGTCGCGCTCGCCGTCATGTGTTGAGTAGCACCCGTATCGAGTACCCACGCGTCAACACCACCGACGGTCGTTCCACTTGCGACGAAGACGAACTCCCGGTCGTCGTTGTCGCATGTCGCCACATGCGCGCGCCGGTTGTCGTCACTTGAAGACGGCCTCCAATTCGCCGGTTTAACGGGACAATCGCGCCACCAATGTCCCGTCTTCTTGCAAAACCGACAAGCTCCCTCTCGCGCCCGAGCTCGATTGGCGTTGGCCGATCCTCCTCGTGATGAGCTTGAGGCCGCCGCGCTCCCGTTCGAACTCCCGCGGTTGTTGCCGTCGTTGCGCCGCTTGAAGTGACCCGACCCTTTCGCCTTCGCATCGCGGGAGAAGTGTGCCGCGCCGATTGCATCGCCATGCAACTTCGCGCGCCTCGCCTCTTCGTTGATGAGGCGTGCCACCACTTGCTCCTTCTTCCATGTATCTTGCGTCCCATCCAACACCGTGATCACCGTTGACCATGCTTCACCGAGGCCCGCGAGGAGCGTCATGATCCAATCGTTGTCCTCCACGCTCGCGTCGAGTTCCACCAAGCGCTCGCCAAGCTCCTCCACGCGGTTAACGTACGCGCACATTGACTCGCCGTCCTTCATCCGCACCGTGAAGAAGTCGAGGCGCGCTTGAAGCTTGCTATGAAGCGACTTGGAGACGTGCTCTCCTTCGAGTCGCTTCCACGCTTCACGAGTCGCGCCGTCACGGTCGATGCAAGGGCTCACGATCGGGACGAGTTGGAGGCTTAGCTTGGAGACAAGAAAGGCAAACCCCTTTTTGTCCTTGCGCACCCACGCTTCCTTCTCCGCGGTTGAAGCGTCCGACGTGGGCTTCGATGCCGACCCATCGAAGAATCCCCACAAGTTGCGCTCCGTCATGTAGACTTTGAACTTGAAGCGCCACGAGGAGAAATGTTCCCCGGTAAAAATTGGCACCGCGCTCAAGTCGACAATGTGCGGGGTTGTCGAGAAGTCCGTTGGGAGGGAAGGGGCCGTTGGCGTATTCGTCGTCGACGAATTATCGGAGGAACCCATGGCGTAGCAACGCTTGAGCGAGCACTCCTAATCTAGCTCTCATACCATGTAAGAATCCGCCCTGGATTAACTGACGCCACAGACTCAGCTTGACGAGTTAAAACCAGAGCCTAGGATCAATCCGACGGGCTCGGAGCAAGGATTCCGTAGCAACTTAGATCACTGAAATCGCCCAAGAGTTGAGAGAGAAAACGTTGTTCATATGAAGATAGGTACACAAGTCGTACAAGGAATATATACTCTCTGTTTTGCTCTCTGGATTTATAACTAAAACACACATGCAGAATTGTAACATCGAACCGCGCGCGACTCGCCAGAAGTTCGGACTCAGGATCGCGTCCAATTTCCGCGACGTCCGCGTTCATAATTTCGGACTTTGCCGGGTTCGTTTCTTCACGCCGACAATCGCGTGTTACAAGGATCAATAGCGAGTGTAGCGAAATGTTCGTAACATTCGCTTGCACCCTCGCTATTTTCGTGCATGCTTGTGGGGCTGCCAAGTGTCGCCCCCACAAATGTTCGGACCCAACCGAGGGAAGTTCGGTTGCGTGGCGACGCGGACAATCCGCCGTCACCCCAACCTTCCAAGAACGAACCCTCCCTTGGTCCGAGTCAAGGGAGGTCTTCGCGTGGGGGGCAATCCCGTCCCCCACACTTCCAACAGAAGGTACGAGACTACGCTGCTCCAGTCCGTTATTGCCCAGTGCGTAAGGAAGCAGGAGCTTGCCATGTTTGATATCCGCAGTTGGTGCAGGCCGTGCTGTAGTGCTGTACTGATGTGCTGTGTACAACTTTTGTACGCTCTGAACAACTGACTTAAAGCTCGCGTCTCATATTTCCAACCGTTTTACGCTTGGTTGGGTTTGCTTGACTGTGATTGGGCAACGAAAACGAAATATTTGACGAAAGGGTGAAAAAATCACAGCGAACTACCAAAACAGTCGAGGCCAAAACAAACCAGGGTGGGTTGGTTTGGGTGGAAAACGAGCCAAGGGGGACAGGTTCGGTCCCCTCTTCTGTCAACGTTGAGTTTCAGAGTCTCATATTTTCGGAAGTTGTAAACGCTTGGTGTGCACGGGAAGTGTGCAACAGCGAACTTTCCCAAACCACCCCTTGCTTTGGAGTGCTTTGCGACAAACTTTGCTGTTACCAAATTCCAACCGTTTAACACTTGGTTGGATAGCAGAAATATGAGACGCGAGCTTTAAAACAACTGAACCAATTTGCGATTAGGCACGAGGAAGGGCTAAAAAACAATCGAGGCTGCATGGATTCTGCCTTACGGCGGCCATGGATTCTGACAAGCTCTCATCTTCCGGTTTCCTCGCTAGGATGCAGTTCGCGTTCGTCCGATGTTACACAATGCTACGCCTATGGCTTTAACGGACAACCAGTCATATTTGCTGACCTTGGTGTTACCAGCCTTCAGGCAGCAAATCTCGGTGTTCGCTTTCCATCCCTGGAATCTTGGACTTCGCGAGTCTCTAACCATGCGGCCTTTTAAACAACAGGTCTAAACCACACTGATTATTCATCACTTATCAAGAATGACACTACCCACGGTGAACCATCTAGATTTCATCCAAGGCGGTTTCATTCTGTTGGAATAACCGAAAGGTTATATAAAGCATTCCCAAAGCTGTTCCACTGTACCAGTACCGCAATAGCTCATATAGAGCATGCGGAATGTCGAGGGTCACCTGAAGGTCAACCGTCTGAGGAAGTCAACGGTCGTGACCCTTGACAATCCAGTAACCGCGCGACAGTTAATTCACTGCAACATGGTAACTGTCGAGGATAACAGTAGTCACGGTTACTGTAGCTATGCAATACAGTTAATAAGGGAATGTACCCCTCAGAGTACATGACTAGCTAGATTTCTATTTAATCTCTTGTACTCCTATCTTTCAATTATCTTGTTCTCTTTCAATTATTATTCAACAAGGTCACTACAAAGACTTCATTGTCTCCTCTCAGACTTAACAGATTCTATCCTATCTACTGGATCCTTTGTTATATCAGCATGGTATGAGAGCTAGAATGGATTATACGATTATTCAAGTCCTCGTTCTTCTCTGAACAATCCATTTATAAAGTTATTTATTACACCTCAAAGTCTGCAATACTATGGCTCATGAAGGAAAAGCTACTGCAGACTCACCGAGCCCACCACCAACAACGACCAACGCGCCATGAGCGGTGACCTCTGACAGCGCCGCTGTCGTTGAGGAGCTAGTCGCACGCATCAACGCCCTTGAAAGCCATCAAGCAATGAGCGTTGACGGCTCAAGCTATGCACGTGGCGTTGCTGGACTTCCTCTCCCTGGGGAAGATCGCCGCGTCAACTCCGAGAGATCCTTCACCTTCGACAATCGTCAAGGGTCGGCTCCTGCACAAGACAACCCACAGCGCTCACAATCAGACATTGCTTAAATGCAAACCAAATTTGTATTGGCTTCAAAATTTAAGACCTCAAAATTTTTCGACGGAAAGGATTTCTACACGTGGAGTTTCGAATTCGAGCTTCTCGCGACAACCGCTCAAATCTGGATGTACTACGACGGAAGCCTACCTTTTCCCTCGGAAGGTACCATCGAGGAGAAGCATCAATACTACCACGAATCCCTCCTCGCGTACATCGCTCTCCTTCGCAATCTCTCACCTGAAGAGCAGCTCGGCATTTGCCCTTATCAGACAGAGTGGGCTCCTGCGCAAGCTTCGTGGGAACACCTGCGCAACTCATACATGGCAACAGATCCAGTTACGGTGAGCCGTCTACTCAACCAACTGACTTCGGTTAAAATGAAGCAAGGAGAGGAAGCGGGACCGTATGTCAACCGGTGCCGCAATCTGCGTGACCAAGTCAAGAAATGCGGTGGGACTGTCCCTGAGGACATGTTCATCTCGATGGTCATCTCTGGCCTCGGCCCCGACTGGCGACAATGCCAGTCACTCCTTCGCGCCCGAGCAAACATATCAGAGTCAGCTCTGTGCGCCACGCTTCTTTCGGAGCAGAAGGAAATCGACCTGTACAACGAGAAGAATGTTAAATGGGAGAAATTAGTCTTCTAACTAGGAGCGTCACAAGGGGAGCAACGCGGAAAGACAGGAGCTTTCTGCAAATACTGCAAGAAGTCTGGCCACTCTATCGACCAATGCTACAAGCATCAGGCCGCTGACGAGCGGCGCAATGCCTCCAACCAACAACCATCGACGCAGATAAAGCCCTCCGCCACTGTGTCGCCTCCTTCCGTAGCCAGCACTTCACAATTCCCTGTCAGAATCCCAACCACTAGACCATTGGGATAAAAGGGCTTGTTTCAATAGCGGTTCAGTGCGCCCATAACCCCCCAGGCAAACGCGCCTGTAACCCCCCTTAGGATCGATCGGGGATCTCATAGTGTAGCTCTACTAACACCCCCCTCACACTGGGAGGCCCAGGACTGAGCACAGTGGCAACGGCCAACATGTGCATACACCGGGATTCGAACCCGAGATCGCTCTTATACCATGTCAGAATCCCACCCACTAGACCATTGGGATAAAAGGGCTTGTTTCAGTAGCGGGTCAGTGCGCCCATAACCCCCCAGGCAAACGCGCCTGTAACCCTTCTTAGGATCGATCGGGGATCTCACAGTGTAGCTCTACTGACATCCCCTACACTCATCACGGCGAAGGACAAAGGAAAAGGGACAATCATAAGCTGCATGGCTCGACGCAACAGAGGGTCCCGTGTCAGAACATATAGCTTTTGCATATTGTGTAGGCTATAGTGGGGTAGCCCACAAGGGGTACAACCCAATTAGGGTTAGTACTTGTACTCAATTCATTCATAGTTCATTCATTCTCGTTCTCATTTTCTCATGGTATCGAGCAGGTTCCCCTGTGGGAACTGTGCCTAGGGCCCACCACTTCGATTTTTTTTTCCTGCCCAAAGCGCGCTCCGCCCGAGTTGCGCTCTCACCTCGTCGAGCCGCCCTAGCGGCCCCTACGCCCTAGCGGCCCTCCCTCCCTTAGCGGCCCCGCCACCCGTTAGTGCGGCCCCGCCCGCTTTCACGGCCCCGCCGCCCTACTTCGCGGCCCCGCCGCCCGTTCGTGCGGCCCCGCCTGCACTCGCGGCCGCGCCGCCCTACGTCGCGGCCCCGCCGCCCTACATCGCGGCCCCGCCGCCCTACGTCGCGGCCTCGCCGCCCCTCTCCTGCGGCCCTGCCGCCCTACGTCGCGGCCCCGCCGCTCTTCTCCTGCGGCCCCGCCGCCCTACTTTGCGGCCCCGCCGCCCTACTCGTGCGGCCCCGCCGCCCTACATTGCGGCCCCGCCGCCCATCTCCTATAGTCCCGCAGCCCTACGTCGCGGCCCCGCCGCCCTACCTCGCGGCCCCGCCGCCCTACGTCGCGGCCCAGCCGCCCTACTCCTGCGGCCCCGCCGCCCTACTTCGCGGCCCCGCCGCCCTGTCCAGCGGCCCCGCCGCCCTACTCCAGCGGCCCTGCCGCCCTACTCCAGCGGGCCCGCCGCCCGACTCCAGCGGCCCCGCCGCCCTACTCCAACGGCCCCGCTGCCCTACTCCAGCGGCCCCGCCGCCCGTCTGCTGCGGCCCCGCCGCCCTTCTCAGCGGCCCAGCCGCTCTCACCTCCTGCAGCGCCGCCCGAGCCGCCGAGCGCCGTGCCGCCCTGCACCAGCACGCCCGAGCAGCCGACCGCCGCGCCGCCCTACAGCAGCAAGACCGAGCCGCCCAGCAGCAGAGGAGCCGAGCCGCCCTGCCGCCGAGCCGCACTGCCGCCGAGCCGCCCGGCCGCCCACCAGCCGAGCTGTCGTCCAGCCGAGCCGCCGTGCAGCCGAGCCGCCG